GAACTCATTTGTTACTCGTTTTTCTCAATCTGTCTAAGTAAATTTAACTTATATTTCTTTATAAAACCTATTTTATTGTGTGGAAGTAATCTCATGGTCCGTGGTAAATCGAGTTATATTTCATTTTGACACCAAAGTCGATCAACGGCTTTGATCCCGTGCCCATTTAATTTTTTACAACTGTTCTGACAGTGAAGGTAATTCAAATCAACTTATGCAATGGATGTTAATTACCAGTCGTGCTTTCTAACAGCTTTACAGGCTATCATGTTTGATTAAATGCTCTAATATTTATTACTCAAATTGCCATAGTTGTATTGAAAAAAGCGAACTTCCGTGACCCGGTGTCGCGTGATATTCACACGTGTAAATTTATTACAAGCTTGTAAAGTTATTGCCCTTCCCTTTTGTTACGCCTTTTGTAACATTCTTGTAAACATCAAAGGGCCTAACTTTTGTCAGTTGTTTTAAGCAAGTTCCGAGGTTCTACCGTTAAGTATCGTTAACAACTAAAGTGAAAAATGTGTTCCATACCAAGTAACTTTTATTTTGACAGAAGTGGGTTAGAGAGGTCGGCGGGCAAAATGAAAATAAAAGTTCTTAAATTAACTTTTATTTTTATTTGATTTTCTCCTAAAATACGGTCGGCGGTCCCGTAAAACATTTTATAAAAAAATGTTGGCCTAAATGGAGGATGTACAGGTAAGGGGGAGGTGTTGTTGTTTAATCAGATACATGTATAAAATAAGAGGGCCATGCGCTTAAAAATATCATTTTCCTGATTATAAAAGCTCTTAATGACAAGCAACACGTAATATTGTAAACTATAAAAAATTTATGAAAAGCAGATATAAAATCTAAATCTTAAACTGATATCACAAAGTTCATATTTGTATCTGAAATAAATTCAAATAATGCAGGTGTAAAAACAATACTGGTTGCTATTGCTAGGGCTCTGTGTATATTTTGCACAAATACTTGACTTACCAATCAATCCTATGAAGTTTCATTGAAATTGAATTAATAGTATATGAGGAGTAGTCCTGACAAACTTTACTAACACCCTTTTCATTCAAGGGCCATAACTGGGCCAAAATCATTCAAGCGAAAACACGTGTAACATGCCCAAGAACTTGACCTACCAATCAATACTTTAAAAGTTTCATTGAAATTGTCTTAGTGATATAAGAGAAATAGACCAGACAAACTTTAAAATAAAAAATAGTTAAAGGGCCATAACTCTTAACAAATTCATTGAACCATAAAAAGCTGATGATATGCACTAAAAGACTTGGTACTGATCATTCCTGTAAAGTTTGGATAAAATTGCACAAGTAGTCCGGACAAGCTTTTGTGTATCTGGCAACACACAAGAAAAAACACCCTTTTCATTAAAGGGCCATAACTCAGCCAACAAGAGCTGTCGGTAGGACAGCAACTCTCGACTATTCTTAGTGCTTGATAGTAAAAAAAATGCTTGATACAGTTACCTCCTCCTGTTTACAGGTTGGGGTCATGATGGTGAACAAGTGTGCAAAGTTTCAAAGCCATATGTCAATGGACTTTGAAAATATTTGAACTATTACAAAAACTTTAACGTAAATTCTAAGTCGAAAAAGGGGCATAATTCTGTCAAAATGCTTGATAGAGTTACCTCCTCCTGTTTACAGGTTGGGGTCATGATGTTGAACAAGTGTGCAAAGTTTCAAAGCCATATAATAATGGACTTTGAAAATATTTGAACTATTACAAAAACTTTAACGTAAATTCTAAGTCGAAAAAGGGGCATAATTCTGTCAAAATGCTTGATACAGTTACCTCCTCCTGTATACAGGTTGGGGTCATGATGGTGAACAAGTGTGCAAAGTTTCAAAGCCATATGTCAATGGACTTTGAAAATATTTGAACTATTACAAAAACTTTAACGTAAATTCTAAGTCGAAAAAGGGGCATAATTCTGTCAAAATGCTTGATAGAGTTACCTCCTCCTGTTTACAGGTTGGGGTCATGATGTTGAACAAGTGTGCAAAGTTTCAAAGCCATATGTCAATGGACTTTGAAAATATTTGAACTATTACAAAAACTTTAACGTAAATTCTAAGTCGAAAAAGGGGCATAATTCTGTCAAAATGCTTGATACAGTTACCTCCTCTTGTCTACAGGTTGGGGTCATGATGGTAAACAAGTGTGCAAAGTTTTAAAGCCATATGTCAATGGACTTTGAAAATATTTGAACTATTACAAAAACTTTAACGTAAATTCTAAGTCGAAAAAGGGGCATAATTCTGTCAAAATGCTTGATAGAGTTACCTCCTCCTGTCTACAGGTTGGGGTCATGATGGTGAACAAGTGTGCAAAGTTTCAAAGCCATATGTCTATGGACTTTGAAAATATTTGAACTATTACAAAAACTTTAACATAAGTGGTTACGCCGACGCCGACGCTCGGGTGACTGCAATAGCTCTACTTATTCTTATCGAATAGTCGAGCTAAAAATCATTAAACCGGTAAACCCGTGCACTATGCTAAAGGACATGAGCTACATTTATTTTACATTTATCCTGTAAAGTTTCATTGAAACTGCATTATTAGTATAAGAGAAGTAGTCCGGACAATCTTTAAAAATAAAAATTATGAAAGGGCCAAAACTTGGACAAAAATCATTGAACCAGAACATGCTGATGATATGCACAACAAGACTTGGTACTGACCATTCCTGTAATGTTTGGATGGAATTGTACCAATAGTTTATGAGTAGTCCGGACAAGTTTTGTGACAGATGGAGAGTCAGACACCCGTCCAGCCGAAATGGAATAAGGGGCCATTTCTTTTGTTATTTTCTTTTGTTTAATACAGGGCCAATGCCCCCTTACTCTATGCCCCCTTACTCTATTTTACGGAATGAACTCTATTGTTCTTTTTTGTTCTGTTTACTTTTAGGTGGCCCCCTATCCCTATTCGGTAGTGCGGACTGACAGACAGACGATGGAGAAGTGATCCCTGTATGTTGCCCCTACTCAGGGGACACAACTAAAAAAGTCACTTCCTGCTATTTCCTTGAAAGTCAGTGGACTGTGGCTGCTATGAAATCAAAAAGAAGATTAACTCATTGCTATAGGAAGTTTATGATCGCAATGGAAGTCACTGGTTGCTATGTAAAAAGTCAATGTTTGCTATGGAAGTCTCTGGTTGCCATGGAAATTTACAGTTTGCTATGGAAAGTCAATGGCAGCCTGCTATGAAGTCACTGGATGCTATGTAAGACCATTTATTGTAAATGGTTGTGATGGAAAGCAAATGGTTGCTATGGGAGTAATCAGTTGCTATTGAAAGTCAATGGTTGCTTTAGGTGTCACTAATTGCTATGGGAAGTCAAGGGTTGCTGTAGAAAGTCACTGGCTGCTATTGAAGTCTCTGGTTGCTATGGAAAGTCAGTGGCTGATGAGGAAGTCAATGGTGGCTATGGAAAGTCAAAGGTTGCTATGGAAGTCACTTGCTGCTATGGAAAGGCACTGGTTGCTATGGAAGTCAGAGGTTGCTACAGAAAGTCAGTAGTTGATATGAAAATTTATGGTCACTATGGAAAGTTCATAGTTGCTATGAGAGTCCATGGTTACTATGGAAAGTTACTGGTTGCTATGACAAGTCACTGGTTGACATGAAAATGATTTGACACTAGACAATGTTTCATGCTTGATATCTAACATGTAATTTTCAAGAAGATTTTAAAGTATTTACTACATAAGAAAAAGCCACAACTCCCTGGGACTGGGTCAATTTAGACTCAAGGGCTATAATTTGAAAAAAACTTGGTAGAGGTGTACTATATATGTTTCATGCCAAAAACCTAGACATTAACTTTCATGGTTTTAAGTAGAATTTTTAAAGTTTTTACTATATGCATATGTCCCCCCAGAGTGGGGCCAATCCCAACCCAAGGGCTACAATTTGAACAACATTTTTAGAGAACTAAGGGCAGGGAAGGCCTAGGAGACCACAGGTCACGGCCTAATAGATTAATACAATTTATTCAAGTTGACTATTTTTGATCGTAACAATAATCTTCATCAGGACAAAAATTGATTAAAAAAATTACAGTTAAAGTGCTATAAAAGCAGTAACAAAAGTCAGTTACAAAAATTTTACACCAAAAAATAAATGAAATATTGCCAAGTCTACATGGTTGACTGTTTATTAATTAATGTAGAATGTTCCATAGTTACTGTATACTTGCATGGGCCATTAATTTATTTCACTGTGCATCTAGTATTTGTCCTGGCATAATGTTTGGTTGCTAGAGGGGATGACCCCTGGTGGTGTTTGAATCGAACTACTTCTTGGATAATCCAGTAATGATGATAAAGGTGGACTGCTCGGATACCCAAGTCAATTTTGAACCCTGTCTTTGTCCTGGTGTATTATTAAAAACCAGGGTTATCATTTGAATTATTATTATTATAATCGTTTTTGTAGTTTCATTGAATGATGCTACACACAAAATATCTAAGCTTTAAACATTGCACTTTCAGAGATGAAGATTTTTAAAGATTTTATTTTTAAAATCTATTTTTAGTACTTTACTACCATGATCAAGATGCTCAATGGAGCAGAACCATTTGAACAATTTTAGTAGAGCTTCATGCTATGAACGTCCCAGGAAAATTTCATCCAGTGGTTTCTGAGTTGTTTGTAAGAAAGTTGACGATGGACGCACTGACAGATGCCAGACAAATTGTGACCACAAAAGCTCACCTTAAGCACTTTTGTGCTCAGGTGAGCTAAAAATACAAATGACACAGAGTTAAAACAATAACAAATTTTATTTGTAAGTCAATGTGGCAACTATATAAAGTTCTTGAATGTAAGCAAAATAGATTTAAATGGCAATTTGCTTTAAGTAATATAAACCCCTACCAACTTTAGTTTCTTATGAATTAATCCACAATCTATATGATCTATTGGTTGCTTTAAATGTAATATTTGAACAGTCAAAAACAATAAAAAATTTCCGTTCTGTCAAACAATAATTCAGGGGAGAGCCTTAGATAATGGTGCAAAAACTTTTCCTTTCATATACTGTATAGAAATATATGTAAAAGTATGTACAGGCAATAAAATATTATTAATGCTGCATGCCTCCAGATGAGCCAAAATATTTCAAGAAAATCAATATTGAGAAAAATGTACTAAAATTTTAAGAATGGTAAAAACATTAAAGATCCAAGTTATATTTTACAAGATATGTGCGGTTTAAGACTTATTTTGCAGTATTTTGTCAACATATTTCTACTGCGTTACTAAAGCAGTAAGGGCTGTTTTGGATATGTTGACCACGTTTTGGTTATTTTCTTGGATTGTTAGTGCCGACTTCAATATGTAAATTACTGTTTTTGTTCACCTCACAATATTTCACTTTCAAATATATTTCTAAAATTTTCATGAAAAATAACATGAATCTGGAGGCGTGCTGCTTTAAACTAATTGATTGAACATCATGTAATTATGTTCAATTTAAAACCAAGAAACACTGAGATTAAAAAAATATTCATTTAACAAGCATTTTGTAAGAAATGTGTTTTCAAAAAAACAAAAACTATACATGTAACAGTTCAAAAAATATATATATTAATCAAATTTTGATTAAAATAGATCTTCATAAACAAAACATTGTAACATAACATATTTTATTTAGTATTGCAGGGCTCACACTGGGTTAAAAGAAATAATAGCCAATATTTTTAACTTAACAAAATAATAGCCAAAAGTTCAGCGGACTATTCACGATTCTGCAATTAACAACATGAGCAGTTGATTAAATATACATTACATATAAAAACTTTTTAAGTTTTATAAGAATTCTCAAATACACTGATACATTTGTGCTTTAATAACAATTAAAATTTTGATAGAACAGAATAAAAATGTTAAATTGTAGAATCACTGTTTAAAAAATAATATCCCAACACTCTACGTGATTTTGTCACTATAGACAAAGAAGAGAAAAAAACAGTGTTAAACTGCCAATAAACACTGGTTAGGGACTACTTGTTTATGCGGCTGTTATGTTTTCTCCCTTGATTATATAGTTTACAAAGCCTTTTAAAGCAACAACAAACAAGAAACATGGCAATGCCACGAAACCAGGTTTTCAATTATCACCATTGTAGATAAATTTGTTGTAGTTGAAATACAAATACAAGCAACAACAATGTAACTATGTGCAATGTAAATCATGAATAATGTAGGAGGAATTGCACAGAGATTAGTGCTCACTATATATTCTGTATAAGGAAAAAAAACAAAGGGCCATAATTAGGTCAAATAACATTAAATCACAAAACCCTGACAATATGTGCCAGGGCACTTGATAACAAAGCTTCTGTGAAAGTTTGGTCAAAATCCGTTGAGAAATGTAGGAGGAGTTGCGCACAGAAGAAATTGTCACTATATATTCTGTATAAGGAAAAAAAAACAAAGGGCCATAATTAGGTCAAAATATAATACAATCACAAAACCCTGACAATATGCCCCATGGCACTTGATAAATAAAAAGCTTCTGTGAAAGTTTGGTCAAAATCCATTGAGAAATGGAGGAGGAGTTGTGCACAGAAGAAATTGTTCACTTTATATTCTATATAAGGAAAAAAACAAAGGGCCATAATTAGGTCAAATATTATCCAATCACAAACCCCGACAATATGCGCCAGGGCACTTGATGACAAAACTTCTGTGAAAGTTTGGTCAAAATCCGTTGAGAAATGTAGGAGGAGTTGCGCACAGAAGAAATTGTTCACTATATATTCTATATAAGGAAAAAAAACAAAGGGCCATAATTAGGTCAAATATTATCCAATCTTAAAACCCCCAACAATATGCACCAGGGCACTTGATGACAAAGCTTCTGTGAAAGTTTGGTCAAAATCCGTTGAGAAATGTAGGAGGAGTTGCGAACAGAAGAAATTGTTCACTATATATTCTAGATAAGGAAACAAATAAAGGGCCATAATTAGGTCAAATATTATTCAATCTCAAAACCCCTAACAATATGCACCAGGGCACTTGATGATAAAGCTTCTGTGAAAGTTTGGTCAAAATCCGTTGAGAAATGTAGGGGGAGTTGCGCACAGAAGAAATTGTTTACGCCCGCCCTTCAGCCCGCCCACATACCTCAATCTAATAACCAGTTTTTTCCATCGGAAAACCTGGTTAAAAACATTTTCATATTTATAGATTCAGTTCTTATTATGTTTTCTTACAATACAATACAATACTGAAATAATATCTCACATACACTTACAGATTTGATCCATACCAGTTAATAAATATTTTGACAATAAGCAGCGTAATGATGTCATCCTAAGTATACAACTCATTCATACATGCTGATGTCATTTCAAACATACAAGAATGATTAATTGTTTTGTTTGTTTGGGTTTTACGTCACACCGACACAGTATAGGTCATTTGTTGACGTTCCAGCTTTACTGGTGGAGGAAGACCTCAGGTGCCCTTCCGTGCATTATTTCCGGCACGAACTGGCACCTGAGTAGAACCACCAACGTTCCGTAAGCTAGTAGATAAATTGTGCACTGATGTAAACACACTGCAATCCATTCTTAGTGGCGGAGCATCTTTATTAAAGTGAACACACAAGGACAAATGCGGGAACTTGGTAAAAATCCTTGTTTAAAGATATGCATTTTGACTTTCATATAATTTTGAAAAGTGCCGTATGGCGAGACAATACAGTGTGTCCTGGCTAGTCGTACGTGACTCACATACGGCTAGAACTTTTGGCTAGCCATAAGGGCCCTTACGGCTAGCCATTTCCTATAAAATTATCGCAAATGACAACCATAACGATCAACAGTGTGAGCCCTGGTATATTGTATTCAAAAAGTAGTGTTTGTTTGTTTTTTCAGGTAATTTTGACTAACTGGCATCCATTCTTGCCAACAACAAAATCTTGTAAATCACCTGTAACTTTGGCCAGATCTTCTAGTCTTAGAATTTCTGAAAATAAAGAGGAAAAAAATTATGTAACATAATTTTACTCATAGTATTTGATATAATCAAGGAAATAAAATATGAAATAAATTAATTTTCTTAAAAGTTCTAGAGATCAAACCTCTTGCTGATACATGAATTAATTTGTTAGATTCCATAACTATGTTAATTGACATAAAATAAACTATGTTTAGTTCTTTAATGCATATTTCTTGACTTCAATATAAAATTAAAAGTTGAACCATCACAACGAGGACTAGTATAGACTTAAATAACTTTGTTTGGGCAGCCATCCTTTAGCTGCATGTGGAACACCTGTCAGTTTGGGTATGTCATCTGTTTCTCACACTTCAATAAAAATAGTCAAATTTGCTGTTGTTTTATTTTTCAGGCATAAAAAAAACAAGAGCCGGTTGAACCAGGTAATGCTCCCTGACTAGGTTTGGCCACAGAAAAGTATATCTTTTGTAGTTTTGAGAGTTCCAGACAAAGTTCAAAATGTGATAATTCCAAACTTAGGCAAGGCAGAGTTACTGTTCTTTGCACTGCATTTCTACTCAATGAGATCTAACTACAGACTTGCGCCCTACACGTCGTCTCAATACGGTGATCATTTCTGTGAAAAAGTTGTAAAATCCAACCTCAAATAACAAAGTTATGGGCCGGAACAATTTTGCTGCAAGGACATGCTGTGACATTGACCTTCAAGGTAGCGATCCAAATGTTGCGCGTGACATGTCATCTCAATATGGTGATCATTTCTGTGAAATATTTGTAAAATCCTACTTCAAATAACAAAGTTATGGGCCGGACACAAATTTGGGACGTATGGAATAAGGGGCCATTTCTTTTATTTTCTTTTGTTTAATAGAGGGCCAATGGCTCCTTACTCTATTGTTACGGAATGAACTCTATTGTTCTCTTTTGTTCTGTTTACAGTTAGATGGCCCCCTATCCCTATTCGGTAGTGCGAACAGATACATGTTCTCACAGGACAGTAGTTATGTGGCTACTCTATTGTCCTCTCTATTGTTCTTTTTAGCAACACAAAAGAAAATAGCCACATAAAAGCATTATCAAAGAGAAAGAACAATTACCTATTGTCCCTCTAGCCACATAATTACTAGGGCTGTAACGAACGTCCGCACTCTCGATACATCCTATATTATTAAGCTTATAAACATATCTTTTTAAAATTATCATGGTATTTTCATTGCATATCAGAAACATGTTATATATCCGACAATAAACATCTGCGGTAAAGCTAGCAACAAGATGTTTCGCTTTAACTTCAACACAAGAAATATTACCGATAATGAAATAATCGTTATGTTTATTTGTACCGTTAGTTTATAATGGCAATAAATATCTAATTCTATAAATTGAATTTAAAAAAGTATTAATACGATAACGCTAAACACGATATGACAAGTGTTTTGGCTAACTTGGAAACAAACCCTTGCCTTTATAAATGACGTAAGTCTTAGATACTTTCTAACCCGTTATAATTTTGAAACTGCTCTTGTTTCTTGTCATTGAGATTTCATAACCTGTTCTGTGAAACTTAACCTGATCGTTTTGTTAATCATGTTAACATACATGTACGTTCAAAATAAAACTTTAATCTGAATGTTCATATTGTAAGAATATTTTATAGATTACTACTTTAATGTTCATGATATGAAAGTGTCCCTTGTAAATGTGTTCTGCTATATACATTTGTATTTGAATGGCTGAATGTAAGATATGATAGTTTGACATAAAACATTTTAAATATTCAATCATCCAGGCATTTACTGGAGTATCGCACACCGATTTGCGTATTGCTCCTCTGTATCGTGAATCGTATTGTATCGCCTCTACCCTGACAACACACAGCCCTAATAATTACTCTCCTGTGAGTGCGGACGAACAGACGGACAACCTGGCGACTATATGCTCCCTGGAATTTTTTTGGAGAGCATGAAAATCTGTTAACATTCAGTGAAAAAGCTGTTCATGTATACATGTATCACATATCAAAATAATGCATTTTACTCACTGCTCAGAGTGATATTTAGCAATGCACATTCACTCAAAGCAAACAAATATCCTCTATAATATATCAAACAGTAAATATTACCAGAATCAAGTTTATCAACATGTTGATGAAGACGTTTACTCTTCTCATATCCTTTAATTCCACTGCCACATGCAGGTGCCTTTTTATTTCCAACACTTTTAGAGTCTGAAGATTTTTTCCTTTCATCATCTTCATTATCTCTACTGGTTGAACCAGTTTTATTTATCTCTGCACTTTTAACAGTTTTGTGTCTTAAATCATGTTGAATCCTATCATCATCATGCTGTAGCCTTACATTGTCTGTCACAGTTCCTGTATTCTGATTTGTATGTCTTGAACTTCTTCTCAGTGATCTTTTCTCGAGTTGTTTATTATTTTCAGAATGTGCCATTCCCAGCGACTGCCCTGGAACAGTGTGATTATTGTGTGCCTGTGTCACATCAACACCACTGTTACCATTATCTCTTGTTTGATTTTCACTAGCGCCATCTGGCTTGTTCTGGCACCGAGGCTTGCTTGTACTTGCTTGCTGTGTGTCAACAATGTCTCTTCTTACAGTTTTACTATTGTTTAACACAACATTGGATGATGGTGCTGGATCTTCGTCATCAGACTGAAAAAAAGTGTCAACATTTTTATGTTATATGTTTATTGTTATGTTTATACAGGTTTTAACTGGCAAGCTAGGTTTAAACTGGTTTCCACAAATGTAAAGTACATACTTGGTGACAGTTACTAGTATGTTAAATACACTAAAATTTAATATATAATCTATTATATTATGTTGATATACTTCACTGTAAAGTTCTAATGGTTAAAGTGTCTGCTTCTCAATACAAGTATCATGGGTTCAAGTTTTGCAGGGGCCACAACTATGTTTCTTCATATGACACCAGAACCAGTTAGTTTTAAGAAGAAGTCTGGAGAGCGGTTCAAAAAAGCTACAAACTTATTCACAATCCAGCTTAAATGTCAGAATGAACTGTGTTTAAAATGAAAATGTTAAGAATTTTGTTCATCCCTGGTGTAGCAACATTGAAACAATGAAACAATTGAATATCAATGATCATGTGTGTTGCCTGACGATAGCCTCATTAAAAAGGCTAAACACGCTGTTTTTATTCAAGGTTCATTAGCCAAAAATCATTTAAACGGAAAACTTTTTAAATATGTGCAAGAACTTGAGGTACCTATCAATCCTGCAAAGTTTCACATAGATTGCATTAGTAGTATAAAAGATGTAGTCAAGACAAACTTTGAAAATTAAAAAAGGGCCATAAAATCAGTAAGCTGGAAAAGCCGAAAATATGCAAAACTAGACTTGGCACTTATCATTCCTGTAAAAATTGCTACTCTGAAGCAGGTGCCACAAAAAGTAATTTTCCATATTTTCTATCTTTTATCTTTTAACCCAGAGGTTGCTGGTTCAAGGTAAAATTTCTATATTCATATGTGACATTTTGCTAAATTTAGTCTATTGCTAATTTGTTTCCCATCACTGATTCAGAAATCATGCTGGAGTAATAGTCAGTTACTTGCTGAGAATCTAATAACTACTGTCATCCAGGTGAGGTGATGGGGGGGGGGAAGGTGAGCTGACTGCCAAGATATGACCAAAATGAATATAAAAACCATATATACTTTAATATCAAAATAATTCAACAAAATAAAAAGTTCAGTAGGAAATGTTTTTACTATCATTTGCAATCATAATATAATGAACAATGTATGCTTACAGAATTAGTAGTGCCTCCATCAGACTTGTTTCCATCCAGGTCCCATTGATATTGTAACTGATTTCTGGCTACTGTAAATAAATTATTTAAATTGTAACAAAATTTACTCTTAGTAAATGTCAAACATTTATAAAGTGTGAAAATTAAGAAACTGAAAAGTATAATGATTGTGATGAAAAACAAATTTTACAGATTAATACCATGTACTTCAAGAATGCACTAAAGAATAAATTAAGATAAATAAACAATTATGCTATTGTACATTACCGAAAATAGTTAATAGGGGTGAAAATGGAATTTTTGGCGGATAGTTTATAAAACTGCATATAATTAATATAAAAAGGACCTATTAATTTTTTGCCATTTTGGTAATGTATTTTAAATCAAGCTCCATAATATTTTTTCATTATGTATTCTTAAAAAATTGACGTCTATGTTTCTACTTGTTAAGATAATTCCAAACTTTTGAATTGCGGAAACTTCCAAAGTCGGAACATTTCGGCTAGACCCAGAGGTGTTCGGTTTTCAAAAGTTACATTGTATAAGAATTTAAAGCCACATAGGTTCAAACCCCGACAGGGGCAAGCTCCTGTTTCCTTGAGCAAAAAACTTTACACTGATTGCTCAGTACTGGTTGGTATCTGGAACAGATTCAAGAGTGTGACTGCATATACAGTCAAACCTTTCTGTATAAGAGAGACAGTATTGGGAATTTGTAAAAGTGTCTCTCTTATACAGGTGGCTCTCTTATCCAGGGCTGAACTCTGGCTAGGAAAACTGACTTTTTTTAACTATTTTTTAGATATGACGTAAAACACCATGATTTGCAATGATTTCAGTTTTTATTTTTAGATAAAAACATTTAAACATATAGAATTTAATATGTAATATAAAAATCTAATGTTAAGAAGAACATATACATGTAATTGATAAAAAGTGTTAAAATGTGCATTTTAAAATTAAAGTCAGGTAGTCAGATATACATTGTATAGTAAAAGTAAAACGTCGGACATACAAAGTTAACTATGCTAGGTTATTGATTCAATTTAATTTCTTTCAACTCCTTAAACTTAAGGAAAAGATATCAATTACATTTTATTCATACAAAAGGAAATTAAAACAAGTTGTTCTCAATACAAACAAAGAAATTTGCAGAGTAACGCTTAGATTTGCGACAATAAATAGCTACCACTATACGATTTATGTGACAATGATTATGCAAACAAAGAAAGGTCATGCCCCGCGGCGTGTATTAGATCGATACTGTGTACATATTACACATGTATGTTGACACGTCTTCAAAACAATAAGGGATTATAAGACATTGAAAGGTATAGATTCAACTTAATAAATTGGACAGCTTTAATTTTGTTTGCAGGTAGATTTCGTTAATGTGGTTAATTTAAAAGAAATTTCTACCCACAATTAAAATTTCACTTTACTTTCGTTTACTTTCGAAAATACATGTATATCAAAAACATTTTACTCAAACGAAACACATTTTAAACAAGTTATTTTTCAAACTTACAAACAAATTTACCGACTACTGGTAAAAATTAATGTAAACAGTATGGTACAGAAAAAATATTGGATCCAAAATGGCGACAAACGTTCTTGTACTGGCCGTTTGATCAGGTAATTTTGGCTATTTTGGGATGAAAATGGGTGGCCATTGGCGGCGCTGAGCAGGTGGCTGTCTTATAAGAAACAAATATATAGAAATTTACATTGGGGTTGTGCAGAGATGGCGCACTTAGGCAGGTGGCGCTTTTATAAAGGTGGCCGATTTGGTAGTTTTGACTGTATAAGATTAATCCTTTCTACACAATCAAACTAAAATAAATTCTGTATAAACTACATGTTACAGCTGTTAATAAATGAAATTGTGAAAATATTTGAGTTTTTAAAAAGTACTAACTTGCTTGTACATCTCCAGGAGGAAAGAAGTATTTGCCAAGGATAACTTGATCAGTACCTCCACGTTTTACGCATTCTTTAATGTAGTTTGGATGAAATACTGCCAGATGTTCCTCTACATATGCTTCACTATCAAACACACTGAAAACATATCACAAGTGATGGTATTATACTGGTGTAGTTATACTTCATACTTCAGAGCAATTTCATTAAAATCATATGAGCCGCGTCACGACAAAACCAACATAGTGCGTTTGCGACCAGCATGGATCCAGACCAGCCTGTGCATTCGGGCAGTCTGATCAGGATCCATGCTGTTCGCTATCAGTTTCTCTACTTGTAATAGGGTTTGTAAGATAACAGCATGGATTCTGATCAGACTGCGCGGATGCGCAGGCTGGTCTGGATCCATGCTGGTCGCAAACGCACTATGTTGGTTTTGTTGTGACGCGGCTCATATCCAAACTGTTGCTACACTACCCTTCGTAGCGAAGAGTAACAGAGTAAAAATGATGATCTGATTTTAAAGAAATTGCACCTCAGGGTTTCAATGATTACAGGTTTCTTTGTGGTTTTTTTTCTATAGCCACACCAACAATGTAAAGGTCATATGGTTACCTTCCAACTTAAATGATGGAAGCAACTAGCATATCTCAGGTGTGCCTCTCTGTATGGATCATTTTAGTATATATGGGCTACCATGTAATACCACTGACCTTCTGTAAGTGAATAAGATACATGAAAGCATCCTAAGTTCCTGGCAGAATTCAGATGGAAGGGTTCACAAAATTACAGAAAATGAATGAAGTTAAAAAGAATGAATGAAGTTAAAGAGAATGAATGTTTTGTCTTGAATTATGGGATTATTCAATAATTCATTATATTTAACTGTTAGAAAGAATAATAAAGACTTTCAATAATTGAAAAACTTCATGATACCTAAGGGTGTCTGGTGAATGTGTATTCTGACTGAATATAAACTGTGCATCTCCTAGATCACTCACTCTGCCTCCATTATCAACTGAAACAACAAAAAGTAAGCATTTATAAGCATCATAACTCACTAAATACTATAAAAACAACTTATAAAAGCAGAAATAAGCAGAAATAAGCTGAATAACCAACCATCAAAATTATGAAAATTAAAGTTGCAGAATAATGTCTCTAATTTGTTACACTTGCCTATGGGCACTTTGCTCAGAAGAATGAAAAATATGTTATTGTAAGGCACTGAATTTAAATACAAATTTGTAAGGCACTGAATTCAAATACAAATGTATCTACATGAAATAAATTTCAATTGAAAAATGTTTTATAATTAGGTTACACGTACAATAGATGTCTGATAGAAAAAGACAATCATATGTAATCAATTGCATAGTAAAAAGTAAGCTCAATGACAAAAACGCTCAATGACTGTGTGAGAATCAAAAAAAAAATTTTTTTAGGAGAAAGTTTGATCAAATATGAATCTTTCGAAGAATGTGAAGTAACTGTTGTGATCCCATTCCCTTTTCTGAAAGAGGCCTTTATTTCATAATACATTTCCCTATCTAGACTCATTGTCTATTAAAACAATTTTATCTTTGTTTTATAATTATGATTTTTTTTTTTGTAATGAAAAACTATACAGGGGATTATAATATCTTTGCAATTACACTTAAGACATGAGCATTCATATGTAATATTACACTAGTCAAATAAGTGACAACACCTCAATACTTTGCACATTCATTATTGTAAAGCTAACTTTTTGAGAATGCAACAAGAATTCCTTCTTACTGAAACTTAGGAGTGTCCGTGGCCGAGTGGTTACGGTTGTTGACTTCAAACCACTTGCCCCTCACCGCTGTGGGTTCGAATCCCCTGACAGGGACTTTGGATTCTTTCATGTGAGGAAGCTATCCAGCTAGCTTACGGAACATTGGAGGTTCTACTCAGGTGCCCGTTCATGCCTAAAATAATGCAAGAAAGGGCACCTGAGGTCTTCCTCCACCAGTAAAGCTGGAACGTCGCCAAATGACCTATACTGTGTCAGTGTGACGTAAAACCCAATCAAACAAACAAAACTGAAACGTCTTACTTATTAATCTACATACATAAGATCATATTAAACAAGAGGGCCATGATGGCCCTAGATCGCTCACCTGAATTATCAAACTCATCCAAACAATTACCTAGACAAGCATTCTGACCAAGTCTCATGACAGGTGAGTCAAAAATGTGACCACTACAGTGTTAACAAGGATTATCCATATTTGAGCAGTGCGACCTAGTTTTTTACCCAGGTGACACATATTCAAACTTGACCTAGAAATCATCAAAACAAACTTTCAGACCAATTTCCAGGATACTTGGATCAAAACAGTAGCAACTAGAGTGTTAACAAGATTTTTCTATTTTTAGCTCTGGTGACCTAGTTTCACATGCGATTTCGAACTCATCCAAGCAATTACCTAGACAAGCATTCTGACCAAGTTTGATGATAATGGAGTCGAAAATGTGACCACTAGAATGTTAACAAGGTTTTTTCCATATTTGGGCGTGTGTGACCTAGTTTTTCTCATCCAAGATGACCATGTTCGATCTTGACTTAGAAATCATCAAAACAAACTTTCAGACCAATTAACAGAATATTTTGGATCACAACAGTAGCCACTAGAGTGTTAACAAGATTTTTCTATTTTAAGCTCCTGTGACCTAGTTTTTCATCCGAGACTGTCCCATGTTCGATTTATTCCCAGCAATGACCTAGACAAGTTTCCTGACCAAGTTTGATGACAATTGAGTCAAAATTGTGACCACTAGAGTGTTAACAAGGTTTTTCTATTTTTAGCTCCGGTGACCTAGTTTTTCATCCGAGATGACCCATGTTCTACCTTATACGAGTTAATACCTAGATAAGCATTCTGACCAAGTTTGATGATTATTGAGGCAAAAATGTGACCGCTAAAGTGTTAACAAGGTTTTCTTCTTTTTTTAGCTCCTGTGACCTAGTTTTTCATATGAGACAACCCATGTTCGTACTAATCCAAGCCTTTACCTAGATTAGCATCCTGACCAAGTTTGATGATGATTGAGACAAAAATAAGACCGCTAGAGTGTTAACAAGGTTTTTCTATTTATAGCTCCGGTGACCTAGTTTTTCATCCGAGATGACCCATATTCGAACTCATCCGAGCTATTATCTAAACAAGCATCCTGACAAAGTTTGATGATGATTGGGTCAAAAATGTGACCACTAGAGTGTTCACAAGGTTTTTCTATTTTTAGCTCCTGTGACCTAGTTTTTCATCAGAGATGACCCATGTTCGAACTCATCCAAGCAGATTGACTAGACAAGCATTCTGACCAAGTTTGATGATGATTGTTCAAAAATGTGACCACTAGAGTGTCACAAAGGTTTTTTTCTATTTATAGCTCCTGTGACCTACTTTTTCATCCGAGATGACCCATGTTCGAACTCATCCGAGCTATCACCTAGACAAACATCCTGACCCAAGTTTGATGAAGATTGGTCAAAAATGTGACCTCTAGAGTGTTCACAAGGTTTTTCTATTTTTAGCTCTTGTGACCTAGTTTTTCATCTGAGATGACCCATGTTTCGAACTCATCCGAGCTTTCAACTAGATAAGCATCCTGACCAAGTTTGATGATGATTGAGGCAAAAATGCGACCGCTAGAGTGTTCACAAGCAATTGTGGACGGCCGGACGGACGACGGACATTCATCGATCCTAAAAGCTCACCCTGAGCAAGCTCAGGTGAGCTAAAAAAGGCATTTAAAGCCTCATTATATGATATTTCTTAAATTAGTTGCCCTACAAATTCAACAAGAATTTGTAACAGAGTTACCAACGCCCCCCGCCTCGGGGAAGTTTTATATGAAGCATAAAATTGCGCTATTTCAATAGATTAAGGTATGGATTTCAGGACTTTCAGTCCAAATTTATGATCAATGCTAGATCTGCAAATGCAACAATAAATTTAATAAAGAAATACTAGTAAAATGAAATACGGAATTTAAAATTCTATCATGTTAACCTTTGACCTCTAAGTGTGACCTTGACCTTGGAGGTAGGGGTGCAGGTGTTGTGCATGACATATCATCTTATTAATATTACTATTTGTGCCAAGTATTTTCAAAATCCCTTGAACTATGTAGAAGTTATTGATCAGACACAAAATATACCCTATAACAGACTATGTCAATCTTTGGCCTCTAAGTGTGACCTTGCAGGTAGGGACACATGTGTTACGCATGACATATCATCTTATCATTGTGACTATTTGTGCCAAGTATTTACAAAATCCTTTGATCTATGAAAATATACCCTGTAATAGACTATGTTAATCTTTGACCTCCAAGTGTGACCTTGACCTTAGAGGAAGGTGACCAGTTTTGCGGCATGACACATCGTCTCATTATTGTGAATAATGTGGCAAGTTTTTACAAAATCCCTTCAAAGATAAGAAAGTTATGGGACAGGACAGACATTTTTTTTTTTATACCGATCAAATAGACAATGTTATGACCTATGAATGAGCAAGTGCCTACCCTTGACCCTGGAGGTAGGTGTCTGGGTTTTGCGGATGACACACCGTCTTTTAATATATATCAAAACATTTTGTTTGTGTGTCTTTCATTTATTGTTTTATTTTTCAACTTCTTTTGATAATGACAAAGTTAAGGACCTGACAGAAGTGGACCGGCGACGGGGACAGGAGGACGTACTCACAAAAATGGTACTTATGTTGACGTTTCCGTTTGATCTTTTTGGCCATTTGTTTTTGGTCCACCACAAGGTTTTTTGTCTTTCTTAAAAATAAACACATAAGGTAAAAACGGTTGAAAAGGATCAAAGATTTTTTGAATTTTACTGTTACCCAATTGATTCTCCAAGTCACACAGTACCTTCGGTTCTTTATTTTTCCGGACCTTTTTTTGTTTTTTTTTTTTTTGGTTTTTTTTCCAGGGATTTTTTTTTTTTTTTTTATTACATTGATTTTTCTTTTATACCCATGGAATTGGGAATTCAGTTGATGTTTTAATCTTTGCAGTGATAAAATGAATGCAGAGTATCTCACTGTCTAGGGACAAAACTCTTCATACTTATTTTTTTTTTTTTTTTTTAAATAACATGAAGAAGCCCTTATTTTCAAGATTTTTATTCTTTTTTTTTTTTTGTGATTTTATATTTTTTCTTTTGTAACTTTTTTTCAATTGGGAATTTTCTTGTTGGTTGTTTTTGATTTTTTTTAGATTAATTTTTTTTTTTTTTTTTTTTAGTTATTTAATTTTGGATTTTTTTTGTATTTTTTTTTTTTCTTTTGTTTATTTTATTCTTGGTTCTTTTTATTTTGAATAAGCCAAAAAAAATCCCTGCAGACAGACTAACGGAGCCAATTACTATATCCCCCTTTTTTCTTCGAATAGGCGGGAGACAATAAATATGGCAATTGGACAAAATAGATAAAGAAAATCAGAAAGATCATTGTTTTACTTAATATCTTACTCCGGCCATCCAATATGTATAATTCTCTATTTTTAAATTATTTTTTTTTGATTTTTATTTTTTTTTATTTTATTATTTTATTATTTTTTTTTTCAACTTATTTTTTTGTATATTTTTTTTATTTTAATTGTTTTTATCCCCTAACCACTTTAACCAATATTGTTACCCCATAGCCTTTTGACATTTTTGCCGACACTTGTTGAAAACCATGCTGACTGTCCTTTGAACATAACTGCCCTTTTCTAAATCTTCTGAAAAAAGAATAAATCAAAAGAAATAAACTTGGCTGATATAAATTGAACTGGAGTTAGCTTCATAACAATTTAAGATTATTATAAAGTCTGCAGTTCAATTCATGGCAGTTAATATGAAATTAGGCAAAGAACAGGATTTTAATTTTGTTTTTGTTGTTTTTTTTTGTTATTTTATATATTTTTAAATTTTTTATTATTTTTTTTTTCTTTTTTTTTTTTTTTTTGTTTTTAAAGTTTTGTCACATCGTATTTCATGCACGTTCTGTTTACGGTAATAGTGATTGTTTCTTAGGTGCGTGAAAACTAAGAAACACCAGGATACTATTTTACGTTTTTTTTTTTTTTTCTATAGGTTTACTATAATATCTAGAATCAGTGTACCGGTGTCGTACACTTTTAAGGAATTTTAAATATATTTTAATTTACTTATAGTTAAAAATTCTTCTTTTATAATTTTTGATACTTATTTGAAAATACATCTTTGCCCCATAAAAACTGCTTTTTTTCTATGACCAAAACGTTTCTATCTTAAGGAGGTCATACTTCTAGGGTGCAACTTGAATTTTAAGCAACGGGAAATGGGCCAAATATAATAAATAGCTTTTGTTTGACTCTGGTTCCCGCACACAAGGGCCATTTTTATAATGATATTATTTTTATTTTACACTCTTAAACATGTATTTGTAATTAATTTAACATCTCTAAGTCCAGATAAAGATGATATTTTTTGCAAATTTTCAAGACTTTCAAATACATTTATTTTTAGTGCACATTCTTACAACAGTATACAAACATTTATCTTCCAAGCATAGGTAGCACACAGAAAACATTGTAACAGCAATGGAAACATACCCTTTTTATCCACTTGTAGGTAGTAAACACCAGACATAAGAAATTATTATTGACAGTTTTTTCAATCTATTTAGTTATGATTTGTTCGATTAAGAGTTTGGTATTAATTTAAAACAAAAGGAATCAAGGGGGAAATGACTTGGAAGTTGTGGTAGTTGGAGAGAAGAGTTAATTCATGTGCATATATTTCATAACTAACAGAAATTTGCCATAAACAAAAACGTTTTTTTTTATTGTTATTTTCTTTTTCAAATATTGTATTTTTAAATAATCATTAACATTAAAAAAGAAATTAGCATTGATTAAATTGATTTTTTTTTGCCTGAATAAGTTGTTTTTATGTGTGACCTTACGCAGTCAATTCATTTTTACTTTATTCTTCGTCTCACTCTCGATGTGGGAGAGGTGGGGTGAGATCAGATTATGTCTTACTCCTGTTAAAACATGCCAGGTTCAGTAAAACGACAATATTGAAAACTGAAAAATTCATTTTAATTTTCAAGCAAAAATGAAGAAATGGGAAGTGTACCGGATTGGGTCCTGTGCCGGTAACTGGTTTTTTTGTTACCTGACTCGGCTATATCCTGGATTAGACCCCGGCTTTTTTTTTTTTTTTTTGTCAACCCAGAAGAATAATAAGGTTATTCCGTTTTCTTAGTGTTATAGGACGCTCGCCATATCGTGTGGCCCGTAATGTGTAAGGTCGCTGAACTGGGAGATCACAGGTCCTCACCGCTGTAGGTTCGAATCCTCACTCGGGTCGAATATCTTTCATGTGGGAGCCATCCAGTGGCTTACTGAAGGTCGGTGGCTTCTACCCAATTGCTGCTCTGCCTGAAATAATCCCCGGATTTGTCACCTGGTTTTTTTGGTCTTTTTCTTTTCTTTTTCATTTAATTTAAAGTCTGTGTGTTTATATTATTTTTTATCGACAAAAATCTCTTTTTTGTCTTGGTTCGCTCTATTTTGATGTATATCCGACTTTTTTTAGTCCTCTATATTTATCGATTAGACGTTACAGGTTTTTTGTTTTTATGTTTTATGTTGGTCAATAGTCTGACGTTCTAATAGTTTTATTTTTTTGTGCTCATATATAACACGCCCTTTTTTCGTCTAAGCATTTTTTTTGAAAAAAAAAAATTTTTTTTTTTTTTTTTTTTTTTATTATTTTATTTATATTTTAATTATCTTTTATAAATTGTCTGTTGACTTGCCTTTTTTTTTTAGTCTTTTTTATTCAAAAAGCTTATATTCTGTTTCTTTCAATTGCATGGTCTATCCATTAACAAAAACTTTCAAACAATGTACTTTTTAATTAAATAATAAATATGAAATATCAGTCTGATTTTTGCATCGGCCATACTTTTATGGTTAAGGTAAGGCGTCTTTTACAGATTGATTCCAATTTTTTGAAACGGAAAAATTATATCGAACACACTGACGGTTGCATTGGGAAGATTATTTCGTGAAAAAATATTCCGTGGTAGAAACTTCTGGACGTCATTTAAACGCTTGCATTTGAATTAGCCAGATCAGATTTCGCGACTGTATGGCGGCCATTTGTATATCAGCGACAAGGAATTTAATTAAATGAATGAGGATTTAATCAAGACTTTTCGGATGTGACAGTTCAATAATTTTATTAAAAAGGTATTCATTTTTTAGTTTTGTTCATAAATAGGTCAGAAATTAATGTAAATTTTTTTCACGTCCTGTTTTAATTTCATTAGATCTAAAATCGATGTCTAATGTCATTTTTTTTTTTTGCTATTTCAACTTCTTATTTGTTTTCTCTCTATATATGATCTTTTAAGACCTAACGTAACATTGGAAATTATGAAAAATGTAAAATTATTCATTAATAAATGATAAATATTGAAAATAGGTTACGTAGCCCGGGGTCTATGATAATCAAGGTGACTTATGTTTTTCGGAAAATATTTAAATATTGAATATCATAAATGGAATTGAGATTTTTCTTTTCCATCTTATAAATGAACCTTTTTTTCCAGAACTGTTTTCTAAAAAAATTTTTTTTTCAAAAGAACCAATAAAATGACATTATTTAGAATATTTTCAACTGCCTGCCATTTGGGTCATTTCAGAGGAGGGTTACTACTTCCTTTTTTTTTTGGTATTTCTATAGGCTTTTATCCTTCTTATATTAAAAAGACTATATTTTATGAAGGATTGATGTTGGTTCTGCTCTCAAAACTTTCTCTATGTTTAAGTTTTGAAAAATATCTATCAGTTTTTACTTTGTCTATAAAATTAAAACTATATGAAACAGACAATATGTAAGTATATATATATATATTTTGTGTTTTTTTTTAAATTATTTAATTGATGTGTAAAAACATCACTAAGGAAAAATGGTAGTCAAATATGAAGGTTTATTAAAATAGTTTTCTTGCCCCAAATACATTATATTCACCAAATTAAATTTGGCAGATGAAAAATGAATTCTAGTATGCAAGTGTTTACAATATTTAGTTCTTATTTTTTTTGGCTTGCTTTGTCTAGCTCCAGCCTCACTGAGAAATTTAGCAATTATCTTATATCTCTATTTAGATCTCTTTGAATATCATAGGAAACGGCTATGTTATAGCGTCTTTTATATTAGGACTAACCGACTGAGTGTACTCGGTCGCCATAGGGCTTTCCGCAGCGACCTTAAATAAACGCATTAAAAAAAAACAAACCTTAGTGTATTATCTACAAGTTTTACTCCTGAAAAATACATAGGGGTCTAAACCAGGAGATTGCTCTACTCTAGTGTATCGCGAAAACATGTTTCATATCCATAAAACATTGGAAAACAAATTATCAAAATAAAAACTTCCTGTAGAAACATATAAGTTTTGCTATATTTGCGATAAACAAGTAAAATATGCAACTGAGTGGTAATTTTACTAACAAATCATCATAGTAATAAATCTCCACACTTCTCTCTCTCTCGCGTCCTGTATTTTAATTTGGCGTTTTTGTACCTGCTTTCTCTGTAATACTAGGCTATCGTAAATTTTTTTTTTTGGGAAAACGCGTATAAAACCGGGTCTACGACTTGCAGTCCTGGTGCTGTAATTTTTGAAAAATTATATCGAAGAGAAATGAATTTTCTTCGGAGACATTGTTCTTGCAAATATCATCAGAGCCTTTACTTTTACATACACATGTCGTCTGATAAGTCTCCTCAAACTAGTTAATACAAAATATTTTGTTACAACATTATATCGTCATAAGATGTGTTCACTAACTATGGTTTTTATTTTTTCTCAGATTTGTGTGTATTTTTGAAACGAGTGTTTTGCTATTTAGGTAGTATCTATGTACAATGCCGGACCTGCTTAATAATTATTCTGGAATTACACTATTTAGTTTTTTATATTTATTTATTTATTAGTTCATTATTGAACCACAAGTGCGTGAACCAGATAAAGGAATCGGTTAAAACGATTATAAACATCACACAAACATTTTTATTATCTGAAACTCACATCATCACATACTATGTTGAAACATTTGAGAATAGGACAAATGTTCTAGTCCCATTTCGTTCTAATTGTTAATGTGCTTTCGTACTCCGAGTTTAAAATCGTACACCCAGTTTTGTTATATTACTTCTCTATGGCGTATTGGCATGTGAGTTTGTACCTCTGTACAAAGCTTAGTACTCCGGCTGTATTTTTCATAACTTTTATTGCAATATCTTCATCCTCTTCTTTACTAAATCGATTGTTAATAACAATAGGGGCTGTCATTGACTATTGTTTTAATATTGACTATTCTTTTCATCAACTCGATATATCTTTTTCAACACTCATGTCGATACAAGCTAATTAAATTAGTATAAGTTCTTTCTTTCTGTTAATGAATACACTGTAATAGAATGACTTTTTATTAACTTACTTTTTTATGGAATTGTATTATTTCTACACGCTATTTTTAAATTGGGAGGTTATTTCTTTTAGTCCTTTATTAAATTTGATTCTTTTCGCTTTGATTATTTTAATTTTGTTTTCTGGTAATTTCAGCAAATGTCATTTTCGACATAATTTGCTCAAAAACCCATAGCACGTTCCGCCAGAAAATCAGGCTGTATGAAAAAACATTATCAATACATTGTTTGAGAGTTGTTGTTTATGATGAGCATGAAATTGAAAGAAAAGAACATTTATAAGCTTTTGAATAAAGCTTGAAAGGCAAGAGAAGAGACATTTTTGAATTTTTTATGATGCTATGCGTTTATGAGCAAAAACTTTAGACGTCAAGCTTGACGGACATGAACTTTAACAAGCCTGTAACGTCTGATATATTGGACAAGGGGGCATCCATTTTGATGTCTTGCCAAGTACATTATAAAAGAAGTTAGTCCAGCTAATTGTAGTATTTGTACTGCGCGACGAGATATTAATGTGCTATTTTTGTGTCTGGGCAATATCTGGCGTCTACGTACAACATAATAAGTACCTTTTCTGTGGTGTTAAATTTGTGCCGGGATTTTAAGCGCAAGCTTTGAACCGTCTAAAATTAGGGGGTGGATGGTCGGGTAGTTGACGATCCGATCTGATCCACAATTTTTTTTTTCAGCACATGCGATTTCACAAATTCGAACACGAATCTTTTGTTATCAAGACACCCATAAAAAACATGAACATTAAGTCTGAAAAACATGTTAATTTTCTTAAAACAATACTAAATATTAATTTAATTATTCATTAGATATATATGCCAATGCTCAATATTAAACTAGGTTTGGTAAAAACGAGTCGCCCAAATATAAAAATTCCACCAGCAAACTTTACTTACAATGAAAATGAAGAAAAAGCAGTTTTGTAAAACATGCCATTGGCAAATTTGACTTATAAAGAGGTGGTACAACGAACTTGTCTAATCACATGAATGAAAGACAAGTTTCCAAAAATTGGAAGTAAATATGCTGGTGGGATTTTTATATTGGCGCGAGTCCTTTTCAGCCAATACATGTAATGTCACACTGACGTATTAACTTGTGTTTAGCAAATTGTGATTCCTAAAAATAAAACAGTCTCTCAATACATGTCACGTCATTATAGATCTATACATAGCGACTAAAATATTTAAAAACAAGTGCTCAATTATAGATAAAGTGATTCCTTTCTCGAAACTAATGACATCATGGTACATGTTTGTTTACTTCCTGTCTTTAATGAGCAAATTGTATTTAGGTAAACGGCGCATAATTCATACACAAATTGATTTTTTTTTTGACATTTTAAAGTGTTAAAAATTCAGCGAATGTATAATAAACAAATAAGATCGCAATCCACGATCTCTGGACTGACGAATATTCGTACTCGATTTTTCATTTTTGATTCGTGATTATCCGAGTACTCGAATACTCGCCCCAGCCCTATCTAAAATCCTACTAGATTTCATATTTGAATAAATTTGTTATGATACCTTTAAAGATTATTCATTTCTACATCAATTCCATGTTTTATTTGTGAAAATATTCCTAACATAAATATCTACTGTCAAAGGCGATATATCATCGATATTTGTCTCTCGATATATCGACACAAAATTTTTCACCAATGACAGCCCTAGTATATATGCCTATAAAGACCAATTAAAGGAAATAAACTTTATTCTATTCTATAAATGTATAATTTGATCATCAAAATCGGAAATGATACAACTTCTTTTTTATAGGCTGTAGTGTATTTATCTTCACTACACCTGCATGCAAGATGTGTGACACAATGAGTTCAGATGCACATAATGTTTTTTGTATAGAGGCTGTCAATTGAGGCCTTTTATTTTTATTGGTCAATGCCATGTTAATAGCCTTATGGAATTGCTGTTTGAATTTCTTCCCATCTTGATGTTCAGTCCAGGACCTAAAAAAGTATGTAATTATATCTTAATTTTTTTTTCTTTTTCCTGTTTTTTATTTTAAAATTTATAAAACATTTAGTACCAAATATGATAAAATAAATATCATTTAAGAACTATAGTATAATGGTTTTTATTTTAAAGTTTTGCATTTTTTTTTTCAGATAACCATGCAGTATTAAAAGGTTCTGATTTCTTAGTTAATTGTTAATTGAAATTAGCAATCCTTTAGTCAGATTAGTCAGATTTAGCTTGGTAAAAATTAGACTCCAAGAAATTTAGTATTATGACGTTTTTCACCCTTTTAAGAGCAGATCTTGGTTTGCCCAATTAAAATATTTTTTAGATGTGGTAACAAGGTAAAGTACAGCTGTGCTGTCATGTGATACAAGGAGCCAATTAGGAAAATACTGGCAAAAAACCATAAAATGATCGCTGTTACACAAGAAACTGAAAATAATAATAATTATGATAATGATACAATGTATAATAATTTGTTCACCAATTATTAGCTAGGTTTCTTATCATTATTATTTTCATCTTTTTTTTGGCAAAGACAAAGAGGTGTTTTTCTCCAGTTTTATGTGTAAGGCTTTTTTTCATAGTTTACCAAAACTTGATTGGGACATAATATACGGTAATTGAAGTGTTTACTAGTACCAGTACATAAAAAAACATAAACAAGCCTTTTTTATAATAGAAATTTTGGATTTTTTGAAAAAAAAGTTTTTCTGCTGTTGGAATTTGGTCCAATTACAAGATTAGTGTAAAAATGTTTAAAATACAGTAGCATGGTAACTAGTATGCATCTGTAGATATAATTATGGCATTTATAAGTTGTAAATTTATGTATTTATAGACAGGATTACAGAGCAATGTGATCACAAGAGAAGTGGAGATAAATGATGTGCCAATAGGGTGTAGAAATATGCTGACACGTGGGGCCACACAGGAAGAGGTTAGATTGAATTATAACCTATATAGAAAGGCACAATGTTTGTTTAATTTTTCAGGAGCTTTAAATAATAAGAGTTCACATTTCATTAAAGAAGAAGAGGAACCAGGATACAGGTTTTTCAGAAACAAGCTCATTATTTTGGAAAAGTTGAACAAATGTGATAAATCCAAAAAATAATAATTTGTATTTTAACAACTCTTTCTCTTATAATGAATTTTCTACTTTATGTTTAATAATAAAACTTAAACCAACAAGATGTTAAAGGTTTGAAGCCTGTATGAAGAATTTTTGTCTTTTATGTTATGGTGATTTAAAACGTTTACCATACTATTAAAAGCATTTACCATACTATCCTGTTTAGATTTCAAAGTTAAGTGGAGCAGCCGTGGCAACAAAAGGAAGGTACATGAGTCACGAGGACAAAATGAGAAACCCAAAGTAAGTATATGTTTACAGTTCATAGTACTCCTCCATCTTGACACTTTAATTTTCAATATTTTTAAGGAGAGCTGTTGTACTCACCCTGGCATCGGTGGCGCCATCTCACTTAGGTGAAGTTTTTGCATGCAAGTTATTTCCAAGCCTACTGAAGAGAAAGGGTTGAAACTTCATACGCTTGTTTCGTGTGATTATGTAACATGATGGGTCCATATCTGTAAATAATCTTTGGACAGAGTTATGTCCCTGTTCTCATTGCCAAGCACTGAGAATTGCCACGCGTGCTGTATAACAGAGTTCTTGTTATTTTCTAAAAAAAAAATGCAAATAGACAGTTAACTATATATTCTGAAAAGTCTGTATGGAGTTGCAGGTTTGCCTTGTCCTGTATTTGTAAACTGTATTTGTCTTATTTCAGGGAGCGTCCATTATACCTAAATGTACAGGGGACATCTCAAGATGCTGTAAATTGTAAGTTCAAAGTTTAGTCTTAGATATCTTTTGATAAGCTTTTCAAACTGTTGAAGCAGTAGGCCAAAAATTTTGGCTTACTTTCATGAATGTTTGAATTATTTGTCCCATTTGCAAGTAGTAAAGAGTCAAGTGTACAAATAAAGCAATGTAATCTTATCATAATCACTTACTTTCACCAGAATTGATTTATAATACACCATTGTCTTGATCAGTTTGTATTAAAAGGGAAGAAATATGTCAATACAAGTATCATACATGAGAATACATAGTGTAAAACAATCAAAGTGTCCCTAAAATATTGTCAGTATTAATTCTAGGGCCGGGAATTATATTCGAATATTCGAAACACTACCAAATATTCGAACATTGAAAAACGAATAGGAATATTCTTTTTACTTTCAAATAAGATAGTAAATTAAACCCTTGACCTTCACTTGACCAGGTGTTCATATGTTGTTTAATGCGTGTCAACGATTATCGCTAATTAACTGTGAAAAGTTTGGGGTTTCACAGTTTGCAATTTACCTGTTAAAAAAATCTTAATTATTTCCTTTATTGTTTTCTGTGCTATAATCTTTCAGATCAATCAATGATTGTTTTAAATTTTGTTTTAATCGGCGCGTTATGTAAGCATGGGAAGTGTCTATATTCCGTCTGAAGATATTAATTCAGTAGAAATTAGACTCCCTTTGATATTTACTGCGTTATAGTAAATTTTATCTTAAGAATATTTTAAACCTTATGTAAAATAATAAATAACAAACAAAAAATTGAATACAAGTTTAGTTTTAATATAATCAGATATGTGTAATTGGGGCTAAGAGTCCATGATGATTCATTATAATTATAATTGTCAGTCAAGTCATGTGAGTTACCTCCCGTTAATAAGACAAATGATCAGCAGTCAGATTAAGTGAACAAAAGACAATCAAATTATGAATTTATTTTAAAAGTAAATATACACTGTATATATCTATTTACAATAAATAAAAATAAAAAACATTGACATAGTAATAAAGGTCTTTTTAATTGTCAAATATTCCAAGCACATTAAAGTTGTGAAGCATTCAACACAATTTCGGATGTGTATACATCAAAGAGAAATATCGGTTGTAAAAACAAATATTCGAATATATTCAAATATGGAAAACGAATATCTGAACATGAAATTTCTAATTCGATCCCAGCCCTAATTAATTCATATTTTAGTGAAAGGTGACCAAAATGATGTCATACGACTCTATTAAATAACATATCTCTTTACTTTATTTGTATTCAATTAATAATTTAGGCTTTGATAAACGTTTATGATGCACTTAGTGGCCATAAAGTTATGCAGTATTTATATCAAATTTAGAAGAGTAAACATTAAAATTTTAAAGTTAGTTTATTAAGGGTCATGCTTTGATCATAATTATATTGTTGGTATAAGGTCTGTTACAATAATTTTATTTCAGTGGCTGTGGGAAGAATAAATGAGATTATTGCAAACGGTATGGCAAAGCAAGGACCACGGATGAGTAGGTTTGCAGCACGCGCTAACAACCCTCAGCCTCCACCTCGGCATCCACCACCTCCACTGATGGGTATCAACAATAATAACCAGGTAATTACATAATTATCTCATGCTGAATGTTGTTGTTTTTTTCTGGAGATAGGGCAGTAATAAATATAATTATAGGTTCTGTGTGCTTCACAGATGCTTATTAAGTAAATTTATATATTGAGAGTTTCAGTTCAGATGCTCAGATATATAACTACATGTACAAAAGACCAGTATGCATTGAAGGACTTATCATTAATGTACTACAGTGCAAGAAAAATTGATAAATACATGTATTTATTTCAATTCTAACATGTTAAAAGAAAGGGAATCAATAAAAAAATATATTGAACAACATTTAGTGGAGAATTAATTTTCATGATGTCATTTTGTTTGCTGAAAATATTTCTTTCCTTATTCTTCACTTAAGTGCTCAGTCATTGCTCACTTTGTTTAAAAAGGAAATAATATGAAATGTGTTACAATTGAATTTGATGTTTTTTCCAATGTCCATAAATTAACAGTGTAATTTGTTGTTGATCAAAAAAAGTGACTAATCCAGAATCCATGACATTTATGTTACATTGTAAGTGCTGAACAATTTTCTGTGATTAGAGATTAAGCCAAACTGACATATATTGATAAAAAAAGCAGATGTATTTTCAAATGGTAACATTTAAAACTGGACATTAAGTAACTGCACATTGGATACAGATCAATACACTAATACTGTATCTGAACTTAAAAGTCTGTCAGATCAAAATTTCAACATAGATCTAGTGAAACTGTGTCAAAATGCCAAATAATATTTCTGAAATGGTGGATGTTTGTGCCTTGTTGAAATTAGAATGAACAATCTTAAATACATCTGAGGGAGACCTATGTAGGATACTAGTGTTGTTCATAAGGAAACTTTAATCAAACTTGTCAAACGCATCCATTGATCTTCATTTATTTTCGCATTAATTATTTCTCTAATTTTATTTTATTAAGATCATTATTTATGTGTCTGTATGAAAACTGTAGTGAATGTTTTTAATTTTATTCTTTTAGCATCATTTGGTATTCTATAGCAACAATAATGTCAATTCCTTGACATTGTTACAAAAGCGTTGCAATTATTAATATCAGAAGAATTTCTTTTATTGAAAAACATATCGTCACTTTGGTGCAGTAATGGGTTAACTCCTTTTATAATTCCTGTTACTGCACTAAGGTGATGTTATATTATATATACATTTTATTTATTATATTTCAGACGGCAAACATAACACTGTTGCAAGAAAAGCTATACATTGGCCTTGAACATGCTCCGCCAAATTTTAGTGTGAAGGACAAAGTATTTGGACCTGGGGTAAGTTTAAGGTGTATGAGAAGTGAAAACTTCCAGGATTTACATCAATAAATTTCTTTTGAGTTCAATACAAATTTTGGGTGAAATGTAAAAGAAATGAAGGGAAATATTTATTGAAATGTTATTATCTATTTTATTTTCATTATTATTAATGCACAGAATCTTTATCAAAATTTAACTTATTCTGATCACTTTTCCAAAGTTTATTATCAATTTGGATGTTGATTTTTTAGCTTTCTGTTCTGATGAAAAGGTTAATCTATTATGATTGCAATGGCATCACTTTACTAAAACTAAATGTAGTTCATTTTGTCAAAAGTAGTTATTTAAACTGACAAATTAGGACGGCATCAAATGCTCTTGTTAAGTCAAACAGTGGATGAAAGATTATATTTAGCAAGTTCATTTCAGGACACAAAAGCATTTTTAACATATCAACAAAATAATTACAATTTAATACTGCACAATTGCCTCATGAATATATATTCTTATAATGTACAAGTATCTTAAGAATTAAACTTATTTATATGAGGAAATTTAGACTTGGTTTAATAAGTAATCAGTCAAAATGGGAAATGAATATGGTAATCAACTTATGATATTTAAGACAATTCTCAGAAATTGTAAGAAACAATAGTATAAGTTGGTAGCCATGTATTAGAGACAGAACATAGATACACTTAAAGATAACTCGTCAAATTTTGTCCAAGCTGAAAGATAGTAATTTGATGAAAACTTTGTCTAAACAAGCAGTAACTTCTTGTATGTTACTTGAACTTTTCTTGCTGTTACAGGGGGCATTTCTTCAGCATATACAGGCTGAGACAGGTGCTAAAGTGACTTTACGAGGAAAGGGTTCTGGGTTCATAGAACCAACTGGCGGGGAGGCGATGGAACCCATGCATGTACATTTACAGTAAGTTTTTATGTTTTGATTAAGGATAATTTAAAAGTAGTAATTTGAGAAGAATCTACTGCCTCCACTTCCATAACATTTCATACAAAACAAACAGTATACTGATATAAAAAAGATGCCCTGTCTCATTAAAGGATTATATCAAGCAATTTTGGGTCTTGCATAGGTATTTCAAAATGAATGGCATAAATTATATTTAACCTTATATATAACAATGATGATGAAACACTTCGTTTACAATGTTGCCTGTTTATTGTAGTTATTTCTAGCATGTCTCACATTAATTGGCTTCTTAATTAATTTTATAAACTATTATCAGATATAAAGAAATAATTGCTCTATATCTTTTCAGACATATTAATATGATGGGACTTCAGCAGGCAAAGGAATTGGCAACAAACCTCATTCAGACGGTATGTAAACTAGTATAGGTATTTATAGAGGAATAAAAACACTAAATTTTCCCCCTTTCTTTAGGTGAAAAATAACTTGCTCCCAAAATACGATCATTGCTGACCAATTCTTAAAAGATGGCATTGCTGAAAAATTGATAAAATTTGTACCAATTGACTTATCCTTCATTCCAGATTCACTTTGCAGATAATATTTTCTGTTTTATTCTTTGAATTGATAAATCCTAGGCCTGTAAGAAAGAGTGTGCAGCTGAAATATTGTTTTGTTATAACAAGAATATAAACATGTTTGTACCATATATTCAGTTAATTTTTATTATTAATTTCAAAGTATATTGAACATAGATTTCTGTGCTGTGCATGCTCAAAGCAAATCCTGTCATATCAGGCCATGGAGATGGTTTATAGTACTATTGGAACAATTGTACAATAATTTATGAAATGTTGATTAACTAAACATTTTTTTGTATGTTTATATAAAAAAAGTCTTGAAAATTGTGTTTTATTTGCAGTGATCTTGGAGAGTAGGTCAGATTGTAGGTTTAACTTTCATAATTTGTTCTCTTTGCTTATTTTTATCACCAGAGTTGCGTAATATTTCATCATATGAAATTAAATGAAAATGAATGACGGAAAAGGAATACCATCCAGCAGAATAAATAATTGTAAAATTATAATCATAATAATGTCCTGTTTATATTTATGATGTATATTCTTTAAAAAAAAATGATTAAGGCACTAATTTTCAAATTTTTCCACCACAACAAAATGTTTAATGCAAAGAAGTGGCTGCAGTATTGAGTGAAAGTTTGTAACATTGACATAGTATCAAGTTTCAGGGTAGAGCTGAGCTTTATATTGTCGCGGAATTGCTGAAATATTTTATTTGAATTAACCAAATGTCAATTATTATTATTTTCTTTAAATTGTGATGTGTTCTTTCCAAATGTTTTCCCAGTTTAGATAGACATTACGTATAAACTATGCAACAAAATGGCTCTGCACAGACTCCAGTCCCATTGTGAGAGACAGTTGGATTGAATTTTTCAGATGGAAACTCAGTTATGGTAAATGGGTCATGGTTTGTGAGGTAAGCAAATGATTGCAAAATTGTTGCTTTAAATATGACTTGTACATTCTAGGTACAACAGGAGTACGCTGCCTTCCAGCAGTCATTCGTTTCCATACCTCCGCCTAATTTGGCTATGCCGCAGCCATCAATGTGTAAGTTATATCTATGTTAATTTCATTCTTCCTTTTATGTATTTTTTCTGCAGGAATTTCTCAGAAACTACCATGACTTAGCAGTAAATTATTGAGTAAAAACATTCAATATGACATATAGGTACATAATATACATTGATAAAAATGCTTCACAAGACAAGAGAGGATAGAGAAATTGATGAAAACCATTTTCACTCTGATTATTGATCAGGTAGAATGCAGAAATATAGGTAGATAAATAACTAAACTGTGTATAATTCCTTTGACAGAAGATTTAACATCACTACAGGAAGTTAAGGGGAGTAGGTGAAAAGATATGCAAGAATAATGTTACCTTTATGCTAAATTATAATTGATACATTTGTTTCAGTGTGGTCAGGTTTTTTTGTTTGTGTGTGTATAATTGATAATGTTTAGATAGATGTACACATAGTGTATATATAAAATTACCTTTATATCTCAGTAATGGTTCATGGAGGCACAAACAGGTTTTTATTTTGACATAAAGTATACTAGGAAGTTATAATTTTTCTCAAGCTATTTATAGATCATTATCTTACAATATATTTAGGATGTTATACTTACCAAATATATTCTTACAGGGCAGTACCGATAGGCGCATTTTAGAAATTAAGATGGCTGCTATTCTTTGATTTCAGGATAGATATTGTAAACATGTTGACGTGGTCCAATTTTATTGACCTGTCACTTGCACACAGGTTATATAATACATTGTATGTGGTCAGTACACATATGAAATTATACGAAATGTAAATCTTGATATGTTTTTAGTAGAAGGTAAGGTGTTTGGCCAATAATTAGGAAGTTGATTGTGTTTATATTCTAAGTTTTGAAGTGTCATAAAATGATGACAGAATGTAGTGATGGGGTCTTAGATATGGGATAGTAATCAAGACAGACTAACTTCACCCCTGATGAATTTGTGTAGATAGTGTAGCCGAGTATTTTACCTGTTACATTTTTCTATTGATTGAATATTTGATGGTTTTTAACATTTTTTGGGGTCAATTTTTTTTTGAATCTTGTCTTCTTTTCAAAAAGGTTGATAATTTTGATTATACAGATATTATTAATATAACACTTGCATTGTACTGTACTTTATAACTTTATAATTGGACTGGTAGGGGGACAAGAGAAAAAGTCAACATTTCAGCTTTAGTTTTAGGGCTTTAATCAACCAACCTCAGTCTTATATGTTATTTGCCTTAATTCTGTGAATGATGACTAATTATGCTTTAAATCAATCTTAGAGCATACATACTCATTCAAAACATATTGTTACATGTATTTTCGATAGTTATTTTCGTTCCTTAAAACAGACCAAAGATGGATCCTTATATTTGGATTTTGAGGCGGATAGTACCGGAATTACTTCTTGTCTACTGAGACTAAGCGTCAAAGGAGATGTAGAGCATAAAATGTGCGATTTTTAGTATTGCTAAAATAAATTGTTCCATGGTTACTTGTGCTATGCTATTTGTTATGTAAATAGTTATTGTAATGTGTTGTTGTACTGGTTAACCGATGTATTTTAGGTAAACATATTCCTTTGTATAAGTAATTGATGTGCAGTGAGCGTTAACATATTGTTGGCTTAGTTACATGTTTTTATTTACACCCTGCTTGGAAGCATATTGATTTAACTATTTGAACTTTTAATTCTTAAGAGGGTACTGTAAAACCTGTCAAAACACCTCTTTCTGTATTTTTATTTTATAAATGCACCTCTTTTGAGTTGTAGTCCCCCCCTCCCACGGGCAAAGCCGCATTTAGTATTGATTTTTACAGTTTGATGTTCAGTTTTCTTGTGATTTGTACAGTGACACATCTTGTTATCCCCCGCTGAAAATTTTCGGCGGAGGATATAGAAATAGTCTCCGTCCGTCCGTCCCACCTTCCGTCCGTCCTTCCGTCCGACATTTTTGTCCGGAGCATATCTCTAAAAGTATTTGAGTTATCAACTTGAAACTTCATAGGTGGATAGACCTCATTGAGGAGGAGTGCAGTGCACAAGAATGATAACTCTACCTTGCATGATTTTTGAGTTATTGCCCTTTGTTATTTTTCAAAATTGATTTTTGTCCAGAGCATAACTCCAAAAGCCTATGAGATATTAACATGAAACTTCATAGGTGCATAGATCTCACTCAGGAGGTGTGCACTGCACAAGAATGATAACTCTACCTTTCATAATTTTTGAGTTATTGCCCTTTGTCATTTTTCATACCTAATTTTTCACCTGAGTGGAGCATAACTCAAAAAGTGTTTGAGATATCAACATGAAATGTCATAGGTGGATAGATCTTATTGAGGAGGAATGTTGTGCGCAAGAATGATAACTCTTTCCTATACAATTTTTGAGTTATTGCCCTTTGTTTTTTTTCATGCTATTTTGTCCAGAGCTTATCTCAAAAAGTATTTGAGGTATCAACTTGAAACTTCAAAGGTGGATGGATCTCATTGAGGAGGAGTGCAGTGCTAAAGAATGATAACTCTACCCTGCATTATTTTTGAGTTATTGCCCTTTGTTATTTTTCAAAATTAATTTTTGTCCAGAGCATAAATCAAAAAGCCTTTGAGATATCAAAATGAAACTTCATAGGTGCATAGATCTCACTCAGGAGGTGTGCACTGCACAAGAATGATAACTCTACCTTTTATAATTTTTGAGTTATTGCCCTTTGTTATTATTCATACTTAATTTTTCAATTCAATTTTTTTCTCAAAAAGTATTTGAGGTATCAACTTGAAACTTCATAGGTGGATAGATTTTACTGAGGAGGAATGCAGCACACAAGAATGATAACCTACTCTGCATTATTTTTCAGTTATTGCCCTTTGTTATTTTCAGCCATCAGTATTCACATAGGTTTCAAATCTGTAATCACTATAGCCATCAGTTTTCATTACCAAAAGACCTCTTAAAATGGAGTTATTCTGCTCTACTACATATACATTCTTCCAATGAGCAAACACATTCGGCGGGGGATGGCCATGTTGACATGGCTCTTGTTAAATTTTGGAGAATCATTTTTATCAGAATCCTATTATTTTTATGTAAGGAAATGAGACATTGATTGTTATTTTAGTAGTGTTAAGTAAGGTTAATTTTGTTTGCATTTCACTGGACACTGACATAAATACAATCATTTAAAAGTCTCAGAGTATTTGTTTTTATGTTAACCTGGTCATTCCAAAATATCATTTTAGTTTTCTGAATAACTTTTAATTTTATTTTTTTTTTGCATTTATGCTTATATTGACTATATAGTGACCTTGTAATGTACCTTTCATATTAAATTTATGATGCTTTTAGGATTGAACTGTCATGTTACCTTGACAACCACTTTATTTTTCAAGAACTAATCTATAATATTTTGTGTACATTTATTAATTTAGTTTTCAGAAATGAGGTATGATAATGTTTACACCACTTTGTCATTCAGGTTTTCAGCTTAGTCCATAGTTATTTGTATGATATATTTGATAGCCTTTTAATATCTGGTCAAATTAGTAAGTTTATTATAATCCATCCATTTAAATTTCAGAATTAACATACGGTTTCCTATATATACTTACCTGGTTTTGAGGATTAAGTCACTGTGATTACAGATTCCTTTCAGCATACAAATAATACATATATTCTAATATAATAGTACATATGAAGCTTACAGAATTGAGATGCAGTATTGTCATACTAGTTATGTTAGTTTTATGGGAGAAGTTATTGTTTATCCTTCTAGGGACAAGCCATTGTGTTATATACAAATAGAGGAGAGGTTGTTTTCTTTTCAATCCTGAAGTTATCAGTTCTGACTGTATTTGTTTAAAATAGTGGATATGCATCCTTTAATTTAACTTCCAGGAAAAAGCTGGAGTATTTTGTTGCTTTCAAATAGTTTTTTTGTTAGGTTGTATAAGCCATGTATCTATGTTTTAGAACTGTTGCAAATGTTGATTGGTAGTTAATAGTAATAGACCTAAACATGTTAATAGATCTGTTTGAAGCTTTTTGTTTTAGCATAAAGTATGTTTTGATAATCTGATTTTCAGATTAAATTTTCCAGACTTACTGTTGAATTTTCAAGAAATAATATTTCCTTGTAGTTGACTTGCAGATGATTATTAATATTGTAAAATTCATTTCTTTTTGCTGATGCTATTTAATATGTAACACATGACTTGTTGGCATATTAATGTGATAATAACTCTGGTATAGTGCTAATAAATATTCTACATGTTTCATATTTTGAGTTATTTTTACATGCCTGTACGAGGGTTGTTTAGAAAGTTTTGCAATATCTTTTATGATGGTGATTCAATACTTTTGAAATTTGGTGTATGAGTACCCACATTTGCCTTAAGTATTTATTTTGAAAAGATAATGAGATAAAACTACTGGGATGTAAGGTTTTGAATCAATCATCCTTCAGCATGTATTAACCCCCATAAAATTTTGTTTTTTTCCAGATCTTTATTGAGAGGGATTAAGTTATTCAGCTTCTAAACTTTCTAAACAATTTCAACTTTGAGTATCCAAATTTAAATAAAGACTGTTTTGTTGAAACCTACGAAAAATGAATTAGAAGACACTGAAAGTGTGTGCATATTTAAAATATTGACGACTGCATAGAGAAAGTGTGACTTAAAATTTTGAGTAGCATTGTTTTTGTAATTGTGCTCTGGTTACGGGTTACATGCATATTTGTTTTGCTGTTAGAAATAAGTTTTAACATACATATTTTAGTTTAAAGTTTTCTTGTTGATTGATTTGTTTAGTTCCCTTGATTATTGATTATTTTATAAAGAAATTGTAGCTTTCCAAACTACCCTCGTACATATAGGAAACTATTAGAATTCGATATTACAGTATGTTTCATTATAATTTTGATATTTTTCACCATGCATTCTATGACTAACTAGTGTTATATGCTACAGACTTTATTTGTTTTGAAAAGGTAAATAAATGTATGTTAACTAATATATATAGTTGTAACATATGAACTGTTGATAAAAATTATTAGTACATGTACTTCATTTAATTCATATATGGATATTTGATATTCTTTTTCAGGTTTTAAATTTGTCACAAAATTTCAGTTAGTTTAGTTAATCATTGTTTAGTATATCCAGTCACTCAGTTCAATTTGATCTGTAGTAGAACACAATTAGGGTACAGAGAAACAGTGTTTATATTGTTTTATATTTTCTGTATTTTAGTGGTTCCTCCACCACAGTTGGTCAGCTTGGCACAACCTCCGCCTCTGCTTCCAGGTAAATCAAAGAGTTTAATTTGTTATTGTAGAAAAAATATTTCTCAACAATATCAGCATAAAAAAAGTCATGTAATTTCATAGAAAATGTGCTTTCTTGAAATTTGAGTCAAAAAAGAAATAATAACAACTGTTGGCTGAAATCTTTAAATCTTCATCTATTTCCTCTCAAATTTATAAAAGATGTATCCAAAATGGAAGCTGGGAAGTCTGTTAAGGAAATTCAACAGTTCAAGGAATAATAATTGTATTGTGTTACAGGTCAGCATATAATGACGTCAGTGCCTCCACCTCAGCCGCTGTTACAGCAACCACAGCCCCAGACAACATACATGACACCTCCACCACAAGGTAATCATAACAATAATCATATTATTGTAGGTTTAGTGATCCAGTGGTATTACTGTCTAGCTATAAATGCAGGAAATCACAGACTCCAAAACTAGTCTCTTTAAAATTTTGATAAGGCTTAGGCCCTGCAGGGACTTTGAATTCTTTCATGTGAGGAAGCCATCCAGCTACGTGTAGCCTACAGAATGTAGGTACTTCTACTCTAGTGCCCATTTGAGCTTGAAATAATGTATGGAAGGGCACCTGAAGGCTTCCTCCACCAGTAAAGCTGAAAATTTGCCATATGACATATACTGTGTTGGTGTGACATAAAACCATTCTAAAAAAAACAAAAACTTCTTAACGTTTCTTGGATAAGATCATGCATTTACATTGGTTTCAACAACAAGAAATTAGAACAACTTACTTTCTGAAATTTCTTCTATTGACTGCTACATCTTTACCTTGAAGTACATGAATCTATCATTATAAGTTAATGATTAAAGCCGATAACATTTATGTCAATCTGCCATGTTTATAGGTGTTTCGTTACATATACATAAATTAGCACATTAGCAAATTATCTAGATACTGGAGAGGACTTACTCGGTAAGTGTGGGAAAACTGTACTTAAAACACACTATTCTTGTTATTATAAAGATTTTTGTCATACCAATGATATGAAACATGTAACACAGTACACATGCAATGCAAAGGACAGTCCCTCGAGAGTTCCACTTAAGACAATATCTACCGTATAGTAAAACAAATATTGAACTAGGTAATTTTATTTTAATTTTGTACTTACTATTTTAGCTACAATGGCAGTGACTCTACCAGCTCCAGGTGTGGTGATTCCACAACTAGCTGCCACAAGCCCAGCACCTCCTTTAGTCTCACAACCACAGCCAGGTAAGTACTCGGCCATTTCATATTTTTTTATACAAACTAGAAGTTGATTTTGCTCACAAGGTGAGCTTTTGTGATCGCTTTTCGTCCGGCGTCCGGCCGTGGTCCGTCCGTAAACTTTTACTTTAAATGACATCTCCTCATAAACCACTAAGCCAATTTCATCCAAACTTCACAGGAATGTTCCTTTGGTGGTCACCTTTAAAAACTGTTCAAAGAATTTAATTCCATGCAGAACTCTGGTTACCATGGCAACCGAAAGAAAAAAACTTTGAATATCTTCTTTTAAAAAACCCAAAGAGCTAGAGCTTAGATATTTGGCATGAAACATCTTCTAGTGAGTGTCTACCAAGTTTGTTCAAATAAAAGCCCTGGGGTCAAAATTGGCCCCGCCCCAGGGGGTCATTGATTTTCCCTATATGCATATAGTAAAAACTTAAAAAATCTTCTTTTAAAGAACCCAAAGAGCTAGAGCTAAGATATTTAGCTTGAAACATCTTCTAATGAGTGTCTACCAAGTTTGTTCAAATAAAAGCCGTGGGGTCAAAATTGGCCCCGCCCCAGGGGGTCATTGATTTTCCCTATAGTAAAAACTTAAAAATCTTCTTTTAAAGAACTCAAAGAGCTAGAGCTAAGATATTTAGCATGAAACATGTTCTAATGTGTGTCTACAAAGTTTGTTCAAATAAAAGCCCTGGGGTCAAAATTGGCCCCGCCCCGGGGGTCATTGATTTTCCTTATATGTGTATAGCAAAAACTTAAAAATCTTCTTTGAAAAAACCCAAATAGCTAGAGTTTAGATATTAAGCATGAAACATCTTCTAGTAAGTGTTCTACAAAGTTTGTTCAAATAAAAAGCCCTGGGGTCAAAACTGGCCCCGCCCCAGAGGTGTCATTGTTTTTCAATTATATGTGTATATAGTAAAACCTTAAAAAATCTTCTTTTAAAAAACCCAATGAGCTAGAGGTAAGATGTTTAACATGAAACATCTTCTTGTGGGTGTCTACCAAGTTTGCTCAAATAAAAGCCCTTGGGTTAAAATTTGCCCTGTTTGGGGGGGGGGGGGGGCAGGGGGGTGCAGAGGTCATTGTTTTTAATTATATGTGTATAGAAAGAACGTAAAAAATCTTCTTTTAAAAAATTTAACCCAACGAGCTAGACCTTTGATGTTTAACATGAAACATCTTCTTGTGGGTGTCTACCAAGTTTGTTCAAATAAAAGCCCTTGGGTTAAAATTTGCCCTGCCGGGGGGGGGGGGGTGGAAAGGGTGGGCAGGGGGTGCAGAGGTCATTGTTTTTAATTATATGTGTATAGTAAAAACTTAAAAATCTTCTTTTAAAAAAACCCAATGAGCTAGAGGTAAGATGTTTGACATGAAACATCTTCTTGTGGGTGTCTACCAAGTTTGTTCAAATAAAAGCCCTTGGGTTAAAATTGGCCCTGCCGGGGGGGATTGGGGGGGTTAGGGAGGTGCAGAGGTCATTGTTTTTCATTATATGTGTGTAGTAAAAATTTAACATCATGAAACATCTTCTAATGGGTGTCTTCCAAGTTTGTTCAAATAAAAGCCCTGGGGTTTAAACTGGCCCCGCTCCGGGGGCCTATACACAGGTGAGCGACCTCAGGGCCATCATGACCCTCTTGTTTAAATAATTCAAACGCAAACAATTCACCCTGAATCATCCTCCATCCAGAATACACAATTTTAAAATCTAACAAATGTGTTCTTCAAGTATATATCGGGGTATTAAGATATATTTTACAATATTTCAGGCCCAATACTGCAACATTCCCCACAGATACCCATGTATGGTCAACCTACAAGTCTTGGACAGCCAGTACAACAGTACATGCAATCTTCTGAACAACAACTAATTGGTATATGACTTTCCTAATAATTTCATATATATCAAGTAAGCTTCAATTTTAATTGTTATGTATGGTCATGAAAAAATATTTAGATAATTGAATGGTAGTATTAATCATGTGTTGTTTGTTGGATCTACAAATATTAGATGTTGAAAAATTTGTGTTCTTATTTTCTGTGATAATTTGATGATATGTTAGTGAGAATTATTTTCCGTTACTGATCTAAACACTTTAAGTGGAGAAGTGACCATTTCTTATATATATTGTTTGCACTGGTATTAAATGCTGAAATTTTGGCAGAAAAAACTCTTTCTGTCAAATAATGCATGTGGTTCAAGTGGTTATTAGGACATGGGTTTGAGCCCCTACTACTTCACCACTGTGTTTTCTCATATGATATCAGTGCAGGTTTGTTCCATGGAGCTGACTGGAAGGTGATTAATATAAGTTGTAAAAATTCTGGCGAGTTGTTTCACAATCAAACTGAAACAGGTGTGTTTAAAATATACAACTTGAACCATGAATTTGTAGTTTTGAGACAATATAAAATAATCTGGCAAGCTAAGTGATATTACAGTTGGATTAAAACATGGTATAATAATTGTGGAGCAAAAGATTTTAAGTCCGATAACAATCATTTTAATGATTTATCTTGAAAATTATATTATTTAACATGTATCATGTGTCAATTAATTAGATAAGGTTGGAGCACCACTTCATGTTGACAGTTATTTTATATTTGTATATATTCATGTTTTCAATAGGTCAGATAGGAGGTCAGCCACCATTGATGGTGAGTTTAGCACCAGGGCAACAAGGTGGTCAGGTGGTTTACTCTACAGTGGCCGGACAATCTCTACAACAACCTGTACAACAGGTAAACATTTATGACCTATCCTGTAGAAACCACAAACCTTTATTGCAGTAGAATGAAGGTTCTGCAAAGGTTCTGTGGTAGTTCTACCAAGGTTTATATATCGTGAAAGTTACAATTTGACCTACATGTAAATAATGTTGGCCTGAATATTATAATAATTATATACAGGATCTAGCATGAGTTGCTATATGCATGTAGGTTAGAATAATGTTATAAAACCTCTGGTGAGCTTCATAACATTTTCTTGGTCAAGTTTGATAACATTTTGTATTTTATATGTGAGATTCTTTTGATACATACTTGTCTTAACATCATAAATATCCAAGACTAGATTGTTCAGTAATCAGGCGACTATTGGGGTTTTCTGGAAAAGACATTGGTCCTGGTAAAATTAGAAAACTAAAATAACATCATGTTTAGGAAGAACTATTCAATTTTATGCCATCTTCTTTGCAAAGTTGATAGTAATTATTTTAGAATGGTGATATTTAAATGCTTGTTCTGGGACAGTATAGTTAATAAACAGGTATGTTGGCACCAATCCTTAATTAATTGGTTAATCTATTTGGTCTTATTCCATTCAAAAGATACCAATAATTTAAATCAATTACAAAATGAATTGTTTCCCCGGACAAACATGTCATCAATTGTTATTGACATAATATTCAAGAAAAATATCCTTGCACTTATTTCTAGACCTATAGTGATTAGTTTATCTACTTATATGACTGAAAGGGGAAAAGCACAATCACAAATCCTTTTCTTTTAATAGATACAGCCCCAGCTGATTCCGACAGCCAGTGTACAGATTCAGCAACCTCAAGCGCCCCAATTATTACAGCAGCCAGCACAAGTTATTCAACAACCTGGACTCCAGCCACAACAACAAGTTGGTTTACAGCAGCAAATAACAGTACAACAACAACATCAACAACAACAATTATTGGTATGAAGACTGTTTATATATTAAACTCTGCTGCTGTATTATTTACCTACAAATTATATCAAAATTGCCACAAAAGGTTGAATATTTGTAATATTTATGAATGATAAAATATTGATGAATTTAAAATGACAACTTTTTCCTGTCCTTCTGTATTATGAACATTGATAGAAATATTTTCCTTTAAACTTTTTGAGAAGTTAAGCAGCCATTAATTATGCCCCCACTTCGAAGAAGAGGGGGTATATTGCTTTGCACTTGTCCGTCCGTCGGTCTGTCGGTCCGTCGGTCCGTAGACCAAATGGTTTCCGAGTGATAACTAAAGTACCCTTAGGCCTAGGAACTTCAAACTTGGTATGGTGATTGGTTATGACCAGTAGATGACCCCTATTGATTTTGGGGTCAAAGGTCAAGGTCACACTGACCTTGTATGTTAAAACGGTTTCCGATCAATAACTAAAGAACGCATAGGCCTAGGAACTTCAAACTTGATATGGTGATTGGTCATGACCAGCAGATGACCCCTATTGATTTTGGGGTCAAGGGGTCAAAGGTCAAGGTCACATTGACCTTGTAGGTAAAAACGGTTTCCGATCAATAACTAAAGAACCCTTAGGCCTAGGAACTTCAAACTTGGTATGATGATTGGTCATGACCAGTAGATGACCCCTATTGATTTTGGGGTCAAGGGGTCAATGTCATAGTGACCTTGTACTTAATGACTGTTTCTGACCAATAACTCAACAACTCAAGTTGCCTTGGTTGATATTTTTATGTGCTTTTGGTATACACATTTGAAGGTCTTATGTAATATAACAACTTGGCTGTCATTAATGAGGCCTATGTGATTCATAAAATTTATGTATATATTATTTGGTAAGATTTTTAATAACTTTAATTGCTGCACACAACCTATGGGGTCACAATAATTATTACCTTGTGACTAGTCATGACCAGTAGATACTAGATAACCCTTATTAATTGCTTGTTCACTGGGTCAGAAGTCATGCATAATAACCTGATCACATGACAAATTGGCTGCCGATAGGGGGCATACATGTTTTACAAACATATCTTGTTTAGTTTGCATTCTGTTGATATTTACAGCTAAGTGTTGGTGTTGTTATATTTTTTTGGTCCTTTGGGATTAATATTATTAATGCCAGCACCATTAAGTGTTGAGAATTGAGTACCGCTCAAACCGGTGCTAGGGGGCATAAGGGCTGTTGCACTTATTCATTATCCCTCATGTACAGACTCAATCGAACCGAGTCTGCAATTTTCAGTAAAACTTTCAGACTATCAAATGACATTGACAATGTTGGTATGACTTAAAATTTAACAAAAAAAAATAATCGCCACAAATTCATGTAAGGGACATATCCGCTTTTTCCTGTATTTGATCATGATAGGATATCATTATGTATGATTTAACAACCTTACTCCTTGCAGCAACCTCAGCCCACAGTTATCTCCAGTTCTCAGCCATACATGCAGCAGCCAATACTGCAGACCTCAGTTCCTCAAATTGTCCAGAGTACGAATCTTCAGCCTGCGCCAGCACCTCAGCCTCTAGGACAACCACCAGTGGGCCAGCCAGTCTCCTGGGGCGCTCCGCCTGCATCTTACTCAACTATGCCAGCAGGCTCGGCCCCTGGAACAGTGTACTCAGTAGTACAACATCCAACCCAGGTACAGTATATATGACCATACCCATGCACCATAAATTTAACAGTCGAGTCCTTTTTAAACAAACCAATCTAAATTTTTGTAAACTTGAACATTTGCAGACCTTGATGTGCATAAAATTTGATAATTTAATTATATCCCCACAAACGAAGTTTAGGGGGAGTATACAGGAGTCAGCTTGTCAGTCGGTCGGTCCACATCATGGTTTCTGGACGATAACTAGAGTTTGATATTAGGTATTGTAATCAAACTTGGTATATAGCAACCTTATGTGGAAACTCTGGTTGGTATTGCATTTGGACCCCCTGGGGTCAAGGTCAAGGTCACCGTTACTAAAAATAGAAAAATGGTTTCCGGACAAGAACTAGAGACCCAAGTTGCAATTACAATTAATTAAAATATTTCTTTGTACACAGTTGATAGTTTGTGTTCAAATTTTTTTTTCAGACTACTTTTTTTTCAAAAAGTCAAGTTGCTGGTGGGTGTATTAATCACCTTCAGTGATAGGTCTATTTTTTTATGTAACTACGTTAGAAAAAGATCTGTACCTTAACCAGTGCTGCTGATTTTCCGCGGATTCGCGGAAATCCGCGGATTTCGTGAGCTCCTGGGTCATTTTTGAGATCGATGTAAATTGAAAAAGACAATAAATTCATTTGTCATATTTTATACAGTACCCAAAAACCGGCACGCTTCGGCTTGTATCGTTACGCTAGCCGCCTATGGTACGTCTGTAAGCGCTTTTCTCATTGGTCAAATCGAGTCTTTTCCGGCATTCTATTTTAGAATAACCAATCAAATTACAGTTTACATTGTCACTCTTGTCTGTTGTCAAAATGTCGGATACTACAGTGTCTCTGAATGGCTTTAAAGGCAACCAAGGAAGTCAAATTTAGAGTCCAGGAAATTGATTTTAGGGCATACCAAATCATCAGAATCCAGGAGCTTCCGGGGGCTCTGCCCCTGGGCCCCTACCAGGGCTCTGCCCTGGACCTGCAAAGGTTAAACCCCCCCCCCCCCCCCAGTATTTTCCTGTGATTTTGCAATTTGCTGTTGGCAGCCCTGTTAACACTGTAATGGTTAGCTCATACGAGCAGGTAACACATAAGTGATTTAGTTAAGCCTATAGATTTTGTATAACTGAATGAAAAATAGGTAATGTTTAAAAAAAAAAATTTTTTTTATCAATTATAAACTATAAGTGATATTCTTCTTACATTCAAACCTATTAAAACTTTTTCCCAGTCCATGACTTTTGTGTGCTAACTTTCATGTAAACTCTAAATTACGGTGTGAACTCGGTTGACTGTAAATTTCTGTATCATTTTTTTTAGAACACAGAAATGATAATGAGCTCGCCTCAAGCACAAACAACTGTTGTGATGACATCATCTAACGGTAGTGTGCCCACATCCTCGGGCTATGTGTACAAGACAGGGCCAGTGGAGGAGCCCAAACGAAGGTTCACTGAGGAAAAACAAGATGATAAACTACCAGAGGGTCTCCTTGGATACGAGGTGTGTACAATAAATGCAGTTTAAACTTGACCTTGCTTAATTGGATTAATTGAAAAGCCCTGCTTTTAAGTTTGAACACTTTATTGGTAGTGAAAGTATTTGATAGGTTCCAGCTAAATCCAACAGCAAACTGAATAGAGTCTGGTCAAACTTGTATGAAAGGACAAGTATTGATGGCATAGGCGTGTACTATCTACTGCTTTTTCCACAGCTGCTTAAGAGAATAGTACCGAATATGATTTTAGAAAAAGTTGTGCACCTCTTCCAATTTATCAATGAACATGTTTATTTAGTTACAATACCGTAATTAACTGGATAGCTGTTTCTTCCATAACTTGCTTACACTTGATTATTTCTTACATTTAACATATTGATTATTTCTTACATTTAACAAATTTAATTTTGTTTATCTGTTTACAAAAGCTTTTACATTGATTAATAAAATTCTAAGTTGAGTTGTAACATGAAGACTGACAGCTTTGCTCAATAGAGAAAGCATCAGGTGTGTAATTCGGGTGCAATTGTTGCGATCCTCATATGGATGAAATCTTCTGGTAACAATTGATAATGGTCATTAGGTGTAATGGTCATTTATATTGAATATCAGAGATATGACTAAGAATGTGTAAAAAACCATAGAACCAGATAAATAAATAAACATGTATTCAATGTGTATTATACATGTATTGAATGGTGTTTTATTTACCAGCATGGACCTCCTCATTTAACTAACCTGATGGTACAGCCAGGCCAGGCAGCACAACCTCCACCCCAACAACCACAGCCTGTTCCCCTTCAGCAACCACCCCAACAGATGACAACAACAGTAAATGCTGATCCTCAACAACAACAACTGGTGTATGGCCAACAGGTAAATGTTTATGTTTAACTTTTCCCCTTGTTTGAGTTAGGTAATAATCCTGGCCTACTTTGAATATGAAATATCCATTGATAATTTTAAAGGATATTAATACTTAAATGCTAATACTAAGCAGAAAACAGTATGCAGGTGGTCAGGTGAAACAAATTGGCCATACATACATACTTGTTTGGCTTAAGGCTGGTATGGTAATCAAGTGAAAATCTTTGCTAGTTTTGAAAGTTTGTGCAACTGATTTCTTGTCATTCAAATATTTGAACTTTTGTATCAGAAAACAAAATAAATTGATTTTAACTGCTTATGACACTGAAGTAGTCAATAAAAGATGCCATTATGTAATATTGCATTGTTAATCTTAACATGCATACACTTAATATTGTGATGTAAAAGCTAAAAAAACATGCATGCATAGATGTAATATTTTGTTTCTGTTGCTTGCAGCAAGTAATACATTCTCCACAGCCAGAGGTACCGCCCCCACCACCTCAACAACAACATTTAATATATGGTGGACAAGTTGTACATCAACAAACAACAGCATTACAACAACCACAACAACAGTTTTCTGTTGTCAGTCAGCAACAGATGCAGCAACAACATCAACAACAACACATTTTTCAGCAGGCTCAACAACAACAACAGCAACAACAACAACTGCAGCAACCACAATTAACACAATTACAGGAACAACCTAGGTATGTTCTAATATAATGTCTCTAGAGTTTTTAAAGGCTGTTGACTTAATATCACTTGCCCCTTATAAATAACTGTTTGAATTCCTCTTTAAATTATTTCAATCAATTGCAGCAAGTTTTCGTAAGGTAGATGTATCTTTCTGGATGCTTGCATGCATCAGAAGTAATGTTCTGATCTGTATGTTTAGTCATTCACAACCACTAAAACTTGCTAGATACCATATTTGTTTAAAAATGTCATTTTGAATTTCAACCCATTTCCATAAATAACTAATTCAGATATTTTCAAATATGCAAGACAGACTTAACTTTATTTAATACAGCACTTAACCCATGATAGCATTGTACTATGTACTTTTCATAGACCAATATTTTATTTTGTTCTTTGGATGTAAAATGTATACACTGTATAATTTTTTAAAAGTATATTACAGTATATATATATTACGGAACGTCGGTGGTTCTACTCAGGTACCCGTTCATGCCTGAAATAATGCACGGAAGGGCACCTGAGGTCTTCCTCCACCAGTAAAGCTGGAACGTCGCCATATAACCTTTACTGTGTTGGTGTGACGTTAAACCCATTAAAACAAACAAACAGTTTATATATAAGTTAAATCAGATTTATCTATGTATTTGTTTAAAACTGTATTTCAGGGTGGAAGGAGAGCTACAAGTTACCCAGGCTACAACAACTGCCAATCCAGGGGAGCCTCCAAGTGAAGACAAAGTGTTGATGCCTCCACCACCACCTCCTGGTAACTAACAAAAATATAAGCCGCGCCATGACAAAACCAACATTATGCGTTTCAGTTTCCTTTCTTGTAATAGGGTTTGTAAACGAACAGCATGGATCCTGATCAGACTGCGCGGATCGTCGCAAACACATTATGTTGGTTTTGTTGTGACGCGGCTCAATTATTATTTTTAAGTTTTTGTCAATAAATACTGTTATTTTATTGTTGTTTCCTTATGCAGACAGAATATAAAATCTTAACTTTACTTAGATCATTGGATGTTGTCAGAAATGTTCCTGAATTCAGGATTTTTAGACACTTCCAATAAACATGTATAACTATAAAAGAAAGAATGAATTATTTATTTAAGATTGCTGGAATCTTTTGCATTACTACTTTCACCCATTACCTGACAGTTTTGGTTGCATATCATCACCTTAGTGCAGTAATGGGTTAACTTCTATGAAATTCAAATGGAGTTAACCAGTTACTGCACTAAGGTGCTGATACATGCAGTACAGCAGTTATGTTGCTGACATATACACATGTGGTTTAAATTTAATCATTTATTTCTAGTTGTCAGTTTAAAGAGGCAGCAATCACCTGGTCTATCTCAACAACCAGGCCCAGAACAAAGAAAAAAATCTAAAGGTAAGAAATATTTTTTAAGTTACATGTTTATATTAGATTTCATTACATTTTATAAATTGTATACATGGGCTTTGAATTTAGAATCTTAACAACATTGATTTAATGTAGTACATACTAACTGTACATTCAGAATTGACAGGCATGTTTCAGCAACAATTTCAATATATTATTGTATATAAAAAATGGTATTTATAGTTAATTGTCAAGTTTAATGCATGATAAAATTCTATTGTAATGTCAATTTTTTTTTTTGTGTAATGTTTGGCTAATGAAGATTAATTTCAAAGGAAAAAAATAATGAGAAACTATTAAAAATGCAATTTAAATTAATGAAAATTTGATTGTTCATGATATGTTACTTAAAAAATATCATTATTAACCAGGTTTTCCGAAGGAAAAAACTGGTTATTAGATTGAGGTATGTCGGCAGGTGGGTGGGCGTAAACAATTTCTTCTGTGCGTAACTCCTACATTTCTCAACGGATTTTGACCAAACTTTCACAGAAGCTTTGTCATCAAGTGCCCTGGCGCATATTGTCGGGGTTTTGCGATTGGATAATATTTGACCTAATTATGGCCCTTTGTTATTTTTCCTTACATAGAATATATAGTGAACAATTTCTTCTGTGCGCAACTCCTCCTATATTTCTCAATGGATTTTGACCAAACTTTCACAGAAGCTTTGTCATCAAGTGCCCTGGGGCATGTTGTCGGGGTTTTGCGATTGTATTATAATTGACCTAATTATGGCCCTTTGTTTTTTTTCCTCATATGGAATATATAGTGAGCAATTTTTTCTATGCGCAACTCCTCCTATATTTCTCAACGGATTTTGACCAAACTTTCACAGAAGCTTTGTCATCAAGTGCCCTGGCACATATTATCGTAGTTTTGCCATTGGATTATATTTGACATAATTATGGCCCTTTATTATTTTTCCTTATATAGAATATATAGTGAACAATTTCTTCTGTGCGCAACTCCTCCTTCATTTCTCAATGGATTTTGACCAAAGTTTAACAGAAGTTTTTTCATCAAGTGCCCTGGGGCATATTGTCGGGGTTTTGCGATTGGATAATATTTGACCTAATTATGGCCCTTTGTTTTTTTTTCCTTATACAGAATATATAGTGAACACTTCTGTGGCAATTCATCTTACATTATTCATGTTTTACATTGCACATAGTTAGATCGTTTGTTGCTTGTATTTGTATTTCAAATACAACATATTTATCTACAATGGTGATAATTGAAAACCTGGTTTCGTAGCATTGCCATGTTTCTTGTTTAATATTAAATATAAAAGAAGTGAAAAGGGGAAAAAGTTAAATTTGAATTGAAAAGGAGAGAAAATAGGCACTAAAGGTTTTTGTTCAATGCTTGGAAAATGAGGTTTGAATTTGATTGTGAACAAAAAAACCCAGTTTGATTAGAATTGAGGATTAAAGAAATATCTAATATGAATTCAGTTTTTATTTTAGACTTTTCAAAGAAAAGGGAGAGCTACTGTACTCACCCAAGTGTCAGCATCACACTTTAATTAATTTTTTTGTGTACAAGTTGGTATATTTAAAACTACTGAAAGGAATGGGTTGAAACTTCACGCACTTGTTTCAGAGCATAATATGAGGTTACTGTTCAAGGCCTATAACTCTGACATGGATTTTAACAGAATTATGGCCCTTTTTGAACTTAGAAAATTTTACAAGATCAAGGCTCCTGTTTTACTTTGACACACTGAGAATAGTCAAGCATGCACTCATACCAACAGCACTTGTTGAGATTATGGAAATTGATATTCATATTACATTTAGAACTTTAGCAGTACACTGTACACATTTTGATAGAATAGAAAATCTATTTTACAGGATTTCATGAAGAAGAAGATGATATTGATATACCATCATCTATTGCAAGCCAAGCTAAAGAAATGAAGAAATTCTCCTTCAATCAGTACTCCAGTACCCCTCAGTTATATACAACTCAAACAGCAAGCTCGTATAGTCAATATGGGGGCGTGGCTCAAAATGGGAGCCAGTCACCAGGTCAGGAGTACCAGCATGATCAACAGTACCAGCAGCAGCAACAACAACAACAATATATACCTGATGGTCAAAATGCTGCCCAGCAATATGTCAGTAAGTGAATGAAAGTACACTAATATAGGGCATTCAGTAAAACCAATGGTCACCCAGCTAATATAATGCGGTTTTCTTCATTGATGGACTTGACAATCTCCAAGGTCTTTCTCAATACTTGTAATCGGGAACTTGGCAAATCTGAGTTTTTCCAAGCTTATCCCACGGTACAAACAAACTTTTAGCATAATAGTTTCATGGTGCACTACTGTTCACAATTTATGTAATAAATGTGTAGTGCTTATTGAGTGTTCTTAATGCAGGACAGGACATATTCATAATTTTGCCTGATGAAGGTTACACGTTTGTATGTGTTTTGATTTTGTGCTTTGGCTTCTGAATAAATTAGAAAGGATTGTGTGTTTTTATTTCAGGCATGAGCAGTCCTCAGGCAAGTGTATATGGTCAGTCATATTCACATTACAGTATGGCAACATCACAAGGCTACAGTCCTAGCACCTCACCCCAGCAACCTCCCCCACCACCACCACCACAGTTTGATAACCAAAGGGCAAGGTCACCTGACATTGGGGATAAAGGTCGAGGGTTTAATCCTCAGTATGTGCCATCGTACACAAGAGATGAGAACAATTTGCTACGGCAACCACCACCTCCCCCTCCACCCCCTGCTCCAGGAAGGTCAAGGACATTTTGGTCTTGAGAAGGTCACTTTGAAATCATTTGTTATGTGTTCATCTTTCAAAGGAGAGTATTTTCTATATTGAAAATAATAATGAAAGGTGCTTCTGTGCTCCTCCACAAGTGCTTGAAAAGAAGTTGTGGTGGAATAAAGATGTTGTGTGTACATGGTGTACGTTTTTGGTTATGAACCAAGAGACGACAATATAGTGCTTTACAAATTTCAGATGAATTTTCATTTGTTTGATAACAAGAATGTAAAGATTTAATGTGTAGTTGTATTGACTGAGGTGGACAGTTTCTAACCTGCAATGTGATGGAGAATAAAGGATATGTGGTTTAGCTCATATTAGCACGAAGTGCTGTAATGTGAGTTATAAATGTGATAACTCAGTTTGCTGGTATCTGTTCATTATTATCTCTTAAGGTTATACTTCACGTCTAACCCTGATAACAATGCTTCCTTTTACAGGTCAAGTTTGAAGATCTGTCCTTCAGGGTATAAAGAATGTTACACAGTCTTAGGAGAAATTAATTTTCCTTGTACTATTACCAAATAAAGTGCATCTTGTTGGAAAATAGTCTTAATAAATCAAAACAGTCTTAAGTAATAAAGATTGAAGTTAACAGTTTGAAAATTGGGCCATCTGATATCAAAATCTGGGTTAAAATATTCATAGCAAACCATTTGAATCCTCCACAGGTCAAAAGTTCAGCCCCTTTTAGTTCGAAGTTTGGCAAGAAAGCTAAATTAAAATCAAATCTAAAGAATAAAGGTCTGGATACAGTACAAATCTTTGGACTGGAAAAAAAATTGTTGCCAAATCTTAAAATATGGTTTTTAAAACTGCTATCTGAATAATTTTTGTTTTAAATTGCATCTTTTATTACAAATAGAGAAACTTTTAACTTTAAATTACCGTCATATTTACACGAAAAGCTCTGGTTTTGTCATCATAGCTCTCTTGTTTTAATAAGGAAAATGGTGCATGATGTTCTATATATATATTCTTGACTAGGAATGAAAGTTGTAGATCTACATTATGTATTAGCTTAAATGATAATGATCCGTTATGTGTCCATATCAAAGTGCTATTGTACAGTAAAGCTGAAAATTTTGCAATCTGAGGTTAACAATTATACTGATGTGACTTATCAGCTCTACCATTTCATGCTAGTGGGGTTGATACAAGACTTATATCACCATTAGATAGCCAGGACATTATCTGTATATTGAAGAGGTATGACCAGGTATTGTTTTAATGGTTGATGAATTTTAGTGTCTAAATTATTAAGTCCCAGACAATAACAACTTGTGTGCTGATACTAGTAAATGAAAAGTCTGTCATTGAAGTTTAGCTAAGTAAACATAAAGAAAAATAATAATAATGTAAAGTATTATTACATAAATAATACCTCTTTGAGGCAGAAAAAGTAAGGAGTAACTGTAAAGTTTTTGCTGTAGATATTGTTAAAGGTTTATACAGAAGTAAGTTTGGTTCATGTTGGGATATATCCCTAAATTCTGTAGGATAACTTCTAAAATAATTTGTTGTATGAAATAATGATCATTACCACTTTTCTGTGTTTATTGGTCGTTATAAACGAGGTTTATGTAAGCATATAATTATTCCAAAGCCTTCAAGTATTTATTGCCATGAAAAATATGTAGAAATAATACATATTTGTTATTTGAGATGTTATTAAAGATGTATTTTTACAGCTGATAACTTGTTTAATGGTGATTAAAAATGTTGGAAAATACTGCATGTTGTTTTATGTTCTTCTTTTTTTTTAAGCTGTAAGATTCATAACATTAAGCTATCACATTCTGATTCATCCGAGTTATGTTGACATATTCTTTGTTTCAAAAATACCAAAATGAACTCTGCTATTACAAGGGGATTATATACAGTCTGCCTTCTATATAGATGTGATGTTATATATAAATAGTGACAAAATGAGTAGAATTTATACAGACTTCTTGCATGCATTGAATAGATTGAAGTATAATTCTTACATGTAACTGCTGCCATGTAAACCAGATTATCTACGGATCCACAGGGGTATTGAAACTTGTTGGTAACTGGGATATATAAATTGATTTGGAAATAGAATTAAAATTCTTTGTGTTACACTAATAAAAGTATTGAACTGACAGTTAACAACAGCTGAACAAGCTGGGGTCAGGGTCTGACCTCTTTAGTGTCCTTAAAATTATCAGTAACTTTTATCAGGGTCCTACAATTTTATTTGCAGTCCTTGCTTTAATTTTACTGTTATGGAAAATTTGGCAAGATAAGGCTTATTATCCCCTGCCGAAAAGGCGGCGGGGATATAGAAATAGTCTCCTTCTGTCCGTCCGTCCGACATTTTTGTCCGGAGCATATCTCAAAAAGTATTTGAGTTATCAACTTGAAACTTCATAGCTGGATAGACCTCATTGAGGAGGAGAGCAGTGCACAAGAATGATAACTCTATCCAGCATAATTTTTGAGTTATTGCCCTTTGTTATTTTTCATACTTAATTTTTCACCTGAGTGGAGCGTACTCAAAAAGTGTTTGAGATATCAACATGAAATGTCATAGGTGGATAGATCTTATTGAGGAGGAATGCTGTGTGCAAGAATGATAACTCTTTCCTATATAATTTTTGAGTTATTGCCCTTTGTTCTTTTTCATACTTTTTTGTCGGGAGCTTATCTCAAAAAGTATTTGAGGTATCAACTTGTAACTTCATAGCTGGATGGATCTCATTGAGGAGGGGTGCAGTGCACAAGAATGATAACTCTACCCTGCATAATTTTTGAGTTATTGCCCTTTGTTATTTTTCAAATTTTGTCCAGAGCATAACTCAAAAGGCCTTTGAGATATCAACAGGAAACTTCATAGGTGCATAGATCTAACTCAGGAGGTGTGGAGTGCACAAGAATGATAACTCTACCTTTAAAATTTTTTGAGTTATTGCCCTTTGTTATTTTTCATACTTAATTTTTCATCTGAGTGGAGCATAACTCAAAAAGTGTTTGAGATATCAACATGAAATGTCATAGGTGGATAGATCTTATTCAGGAGGAATGCTGTGCACAAGAATGATAACTCTTCCCTATATAATTTTTGAGTTATTGCCCTTTGTTCTTTTTCATACTATTTTGTCCGGAGCTTATCTCAAAAAATATTTGAGGTATCAACTTGAAACTTCATAGGTGGATAAATTTTACTGAGGAGGGGTGAAGGCACACAAGAATGATAACCTACCCTGCATTATTATTCAGTCATTGCCCTTTGTTATTTTCAGCCATCGGTATTCACGTAGGTTTCAAATCTGTAATCACTTCAGCCATCAGTTTTCATTACCAAAAGACCTCTTAAAATGGAATTATTCTGCTCTACTACATATACATTCTTCCAATGAGCAAACACATTCGGCATCTTGTTTTTACTGCTTTTATACCTGTACACGTTAGTCTCCAGAAACAAAAGTATATGCAATTAATTTCATAAAGAGGTAGCATAAAACACATGTTCGTAATACATGTACATGTTCACTGGAAATGACGTGTAGATATACAATTCTTGGGGATATAATATGAGCCGCGTCACGACAAAACCAACGCAATGCGTTTGCGACCTTCATGGATCCAGACCAGCCTGCGCATCCGCGCAGTCTGATCAGGATCCTGTTCGCTTACAAACGCTATTACAAGTAGAGAAACTGATAGCGAACAGCATAATCCTGATCAGACTGGCGCAGGCTGGTCTTGATCCATGCTGATCGCAAACGCATTGTTGGTTTTGTCGTGACGCGGCTCATATCAATTCTCTTGAATGAAGTGTATAATATTTAAGCTGAATTACATTCCTATATTGAATGAACAAGATTTAAGAATTTCTTCACCAGAATAAATTGATATTTAACCCTTTCCCTCATGAGCATATTGTGAAAAATGGCCGTTTTCATTGAAAAGCCTCCTGTTACAAGTTCAAACTGCTATGAAACTATGAAGAATGCTTCAATACTAATCAAACTTGGCACACATGTTGACTGGACCATTACCTTTGTAACGACATGCTCAGTCTTAAATTTCCTGTTACCATGGCAACGAGGGGACGTCTCAAAATCGCCAAAAATCGCTATTTTGCCCAAAATTTATTTCAAACTGCTGCAACTTCTCAAGGGATTGAGATAGAGTCAAAGGCTTTTCAGCGTTGGTTACACGTTACCTTATGGTCGATCTGGGGTCATTTTTAGCCTCTCACAAGTCCAAAAATTTCTTGGCGATGAGGGGGACTACCGGCCCCCTTCAAACCCCCAAACATAAGGGGGCACACCCCCCTTCTGGCAACCCCCTGCATTGTATCTTTTGGATGGGGGCGGCGCCAAAAAAGTGCTCACTTTTTTTAAGCAACATTTCTCAAACGAAAACATGTATTTGGGGCCAAATAGGACATTTTTTTTCACTATTTGAGGCCTAAAAGAGGGGGTTCGAAAGTGCGTTGTTTCGCGTATATATGAGGTAAAGGATTAATATGGAATTAATAGACGTAATCTGGAACTGGGCAAAGTGGGTATTACCAGCTAATCTGTAGGTACAAACTAACCGTTATAGCTTCACGGTGCACTACCCATCACAATATATTAGTCAACCTGTTGCGCTTATTTTCAAATCTGTAAAGAGTTTGTAGCAGGGGAAAAAAAGAGGATTAGCTGGGGAAAAAATCCAAATAGCCTTAATTCCGGAGTAAGTCTATTCAACAACACTGATAATACCAAGAATGATGATCTCTATCTTTCTGAACATGAAGACAAACTATTCATTTGTAATTTTATATTGCCATACAACACAATGACACGTCTCATTTACATATAACATAAATGTAAAATTAAAGAGTGAGACCAACTTGCTGCAACTTTTGAGGAAAACACAATAAGAACATGTTATTATATAACAGAAAATGTGTAATTAAACTTAAGTGCTAAGGCAAGCAAAATGTTTTTTTTATCATTATGATTACTGATTTTCAAATATTTAACAAAATTCTTAACATTCAATAGACGCCAACATATGACAAAAGTGTTGAAGAAGGAACACATTTGCAGTAATAGAGGTATTCCATGGTATTGTCAAAATGTGACATTTGTGAAGTGATTGTCCATGGTGTTACGTCAGAGTGTAACATAAGAATTAATATACTAGAGATTTTCCATGATTTTCTGTTACTGTGTGACATGCGTTGTAATAGATGTTATGCTGTGTCGGAGCCTTTCTGGAGTGTTAAAATACGTCATCTGCATTAAGCTTTTCCATGGTGTGTCAAAATACGACATCTGCATTAATTAAGATTTTCCATGGTGTGTCAAAATACGTCATCTGCATTAATTAAGATTTTCCATGGTGTGTCAAAATACGTCATCTGCATTAATTAAGATTTTCCATGGTGTGTCAAAATACGTCATCTGCATTAATTAAGATTTTCCATGGTGTGTCAAAATACGTCATCTGCATTAATTAAGATTTTCCATGGTGTGTCAAAATACGTCATCTGCATTAATTAAGATTTTCCATGGTGTTGTTTCTGAAAATTTTACACGCAGTAATAGAGATATTCCATGTTGCTTTTCTTTTTTGTGTCGAAATGTAACATATGCTGTATGTAATAGAGGTATTCCATTTCGTTGTGTCAGAGTTTGACATCTGAAGTTACAAGATTTTCGATGGTGTCGTTGAGGCTTACAACAAAGTTACCGTTAACACGTACCTGTTTTGACTGCAACATTTAGGAGAGATGTGTGAAAATTTTTTTTTAATCTTTATTTTCCAGTCAGTTGTCACCTTGTCCTCCATCCCTCATGTGGTAGTGAGAAAGTTGCCAGGTCAATTCTGTAGTTTAGCGTAAGCGCAAAATGACGGAAGGATACGCACAACAAATTATTTTAGTTCATAGAAGACTGATAAGGTAGATAGTGTAAAAATTAACCCTCCTTGATTCGTCACAACACTCGGCGTTCATCTTTATCTTTTATAGATGTTCCATTTGTTATGTCAGTGGAGGAAATTACATGTATAGTCAAAAAAAGTTGAGACCATTCAAAAATGAGTGATATCAATTGCACGTTCTATACAAGCCCGAGCAATGAGAGTTGGTCCATTGTAGAAGGTTTTGTTATTGATGGCCGCCCATCCATTTCTCCTGAAGACTGAAAAAAATGGAAGAAAAATGATAAGGTCTCTAACTTTAAAACCTGCTGGACCTGCTGATTAGACTTTGCCACCAGTATAGAGCCAGGCCAGCCTGCACATCTATACAGTCTAACCATGCTGTACACCGTTGTTAGCTTTTTATATTGAAACTCCTTAAACAATGAATAAAATATTCAAAATTCAAAGAATGGCAAATCTATTACATAAATTCAACAGATTATGAGTTCAGTATATTTCTGATACAGGCAGATTGGCCTTTATTGTACTGTATTCCTATTTATCATCAATCAATGTAATCTGTACAAACTAATGAATAAACAGCGTTAATGTCAGAACTGAATGGGTCTTGGAGCATCAGGAAGAATATAAACTTGCTGGTGTCTCTAGCAGAATGTGGCTGTCATGTTTTTTATCTTGTGATTGAACTTTCAAATTAACTATTAAACAATTCCATAATACAAGTTTCAGTGCACATAATTATTTGGTTGCAAAATGACATAACAATTCATTTTCCCCCAGTAATTAATCACCACACAACATTAGATATGAAACCAAATATGTCACGTTGGACGTCCTACCGCTTTTAATGTATATTATCTAAACCTCTAATACTATGATCAAAGTAACTTACTAGAGATCCTTAAAAGCTTGAAGTAGTAAAACAGCTTTGTAAACATTGTCTTATAAATAATTAGAAATAAGTATTTTACTAAAATTTATTTCACCAATATTAATAGTGACAATAAGATCACATTTAACTTTTGTTGTTATCTTAGTATTTTCTTATCATATATATTGTTAACCATGTATAATTTCAAATTTTGATGATAACTTACTTTGTGTAATGAGGCTTTGTCAATGGCTTTCAAAATTTCATAACGTTTAAGCTGTTTGGCGCGTGTGTAAAGTGACGTCAGGTCATGGTCACACGTGTACGTGGAACATGCAGAATTTCGTGCATTGCAATCCTCGTACTGAAATAAAAAATGTCGCAATAAAAAGATATTATTGTCGTGAGCAAAAAGAGCCAAAATGCACGAGAGCAATGTTGAAAGACCATAGCATCCGTTTCTTCAAGATAACATGAATACTTCAATTTGGCATCTGCTTGGAAACTGATAGTTCTTTATTAAAATTAAATTTCTTTTTAATGTCATCAATATTCATTAGTTATCAGTCATTTAATTCAAGTTGGTGATAAAAAGGTGTTTAAAGTGCAAGATGGGTAACCTGTTTATATATATCTGTACGCATGCCTTGCTGTATTAGATATACTGCGATGTGTTGTCTCCCTGTATCTACACAATGGAAGAGAATATTGGCGTAGCGATTGATGTCCCCTTTGTCAGCTAGACCGACCACCAGGTCTTCAACGCCCAGAACGTCACCTTTCTGTAACAACAAGTATAGTTATATTACAGTGATAACAGAACCAAAATGTATCATAGTACACTGAAAAAGCGTTCAGTTTATTTTAATTCGATTGTGTAGGGAGCTATTAACTAATAGACACATTCTCGAACTACTAGTAACCAGAACTGAGCAATGAGTGTATAGTTTCTTGCTCAAGGAAACAACAGCTTGGCCCAAACGGGGTTTGAACAAATCCGGCTAGGTACTTATAATACGTCATAGTATAGTTTGAAGTTTCCAAGTTATCTGAAGCTTTTAATGAAGAAAAACGTTAATGGAGTCAATGAATATAGTCCAATATTCTAAAGAGTAGAGTCAGAAAATACCACACATTTTGTCTGAAATGCCATTTTAGTCCGTTGATGTTTTATTTTGTAACATGGTACTTGGAGATGTCCCGCGCGGTTAATGATATTTTATACATGGTTGCAGATTTCTATCATGTTTGACAACAGTTACTCAATGAGAGCTTTAGATTTATTTGCAGAAAACTTTTGAACTCATGTATTGCCAAATAACTATGTATTCCTTCCCTTTGTGTATTTCGCTATTTAAAAAAAAACAATTGTTTTAGGAAACAGTTCTGTTTAAACAATTATGTTTAAGGAAAGATAACATACTTTGACAGCTTTCAGTAGAGATTGTTCGAAGTTTGTCTCGGCAAGGTACACGTCCATTGTAAAACCATACATTGACCTTTGTAAACGGACATACTCATCTTTCCCACAACTTCCAATATGATATTGTCCTGGATACCGACCAGCCTGGCGAGCAGACGAACATTTTATACTTTGTCAACCATATTAGAAAACATATAAGCAGACGAGAATTACAATATTAACATATCTTAAAATTGAAATAGGCGAAAAAAAATATAGATTAGCCATATATTCTCTTCATTCGGAAACCCTCGCGGACTACTCAGTGACTTATTTACTAATCTATGGATTACAAACACCTTATGTTCTTTTTTGCACGGATACTAAGATACAATTCTTTTTTGGTTAAATTTGACGATTATTTTAACTAACATTAGAAATACATCACATAGCAGTAAAATGAAATTGATATAAATTTAGAAACTCAACGAGTGAGACCCTGAAAGTGACAAAATTAATGATGATGACAAGAGCGCTTAGTGATCACATGTGTCCCCTGATCATAGTCAATTCAGTAGTTGTATTAAGGGGTGATTGGACAGTTTGTTCCCTGTATGTAACGGGTACTTTGTAGCATGCAGAAGCTACTACTGTAAAGCAGGCAACACAAACATCCTAATGAGGCTAAAACTTTTTATCTAAGGGCCGTAACTCAGGGAAAATCATTCAACCGGAAAACACGTTAAATATGCGCAAGAACTTTAGGTACCGATCAATCCTGTAAAGTTTCACTCAAATTACATTAACAGTGTCAGAGATGAAGTTCGGACAAAACTTTAAAAATCAAAAATTAATTGAAGGGCCATAACTTAGACCAAGATCATTGAACTGGTGAGTGCAAACGTTATACATAACTTAACATGAAACTTATCACTCCTGTAAAGTTTGGATGAAATTGCACCAGTAGTTTTTGGTGAGTAGTCTGGACGCGTTTTGTGACGGACGTTTTGTGACGGACGGACAAATGAGCAGACGGACGATGGAAAAGTGATTCCTATACTCTGTAGCAGGCGACACAAAAAATGTTGTTTATTTTTTCGATTTCTGGTTTCTGCTTGAGTTTATCAGTAAAACTCCAATATTCATTTTATGCGTTGCAATAAAAGTAACAATGGTATTCTGTTTTCTTATATAAGATTTCTAGCAAATATTAGCAAGGGTTTCTATATAGTCGGTACTCACCCAGTCGGCGTTGATTGGATTAGCTCCATGCAGCAGCAGATAATTTACCAGACTTGTGCTTTCTGATACCAGATATGCATAATGTAACGCGCATCTACCAACCTGTATTGTAATTAAATATACACAGGTATATACAATAATACGTGTATCAATAAAAATCATATAGACCGTATTAGGTTTTGTTTTTTGTTTATTTGTTTGTTTGTTTATTTATTCATTATGTATTTTGTGTAATCTTTTTTTAGGAAGGGAGCTAAGGGCTAAGACTAGGGGTGTAGATTTTTACTTACAGTGTCGCTATTAAGGTCTTATTATGGACTCACTGTGATAACAATGCAATATTTATGTTAGCAAAAGCAAACATAAATATAAACACCACTTTAAATCACAGTGTACCGTTGAAATTAGGTTACAAATGCTTATGCAATCGTAACAAGAGTTGGCCGAGGAGCAATAATAAAATGAAAGTGGAAAAGTATGGAAAGCCTTGACTGTCTTATAATTAACTCCATCAGTATAATGACAGAAGCACATGATATAATGATGTTTGCACTTCATATAAAGCAGCGGTCGTATAACAATAGATGCACATCGTATAATGAAAAATTG